TATATTTAATTTTATTATACTACTAATTCGTATATATGTATATACTTTATATAACTTAGATATAATTAGACAAATTTGATGTAGAAAACATACTGTATTATATTTTTGTTTATATTATTTTATTTAATATATATTTAATAATTAATTTATGCTAATTATTACATTTATTAATATATTGAAGTATAGAACTCTATAGAATATTCTTGAATTATTATTTTTTCCTGAATTCCTATATTATACAGTATAAGTTATAATTCATTTATTAGACTTAAGTTATAAATAATATTAAACGTATTAAAAATAATAACCACATAAGAAATTTTAGTATATTTATTTTAATTTTATTCAGTATAGTTTTAGATTTAAAATAAATTATGCATATAAAATACGAGAAAATTGTAAAAATAAAAATTTTAAGTTAGTTGGAGAAAATTTAAATAAATTACTATATTTTGATTATAATTATTATTGAACATAAATTATACACAATTAATAATAAAAGTCAAATAAGAGGTTAATCTCGAGTTAAATTAAAGTCAAATTGAATGACAATCAAATCACTTGTGTATATATATACAGTACAGTATGTGTTGAATGTCTGTCCAATAAATGAAATAACAAGCAATACTGTGCCAAATGTTACAAATGTTTAATGCAATCATTCAGTACATACCGTATGAAAATACAGTACATTCTGTATATGAAAGTCATATAACACAACATTTTCAGATGAAACGATGTCTATCTCAATGAGCAAACTGTATAAAACAGATTAAGTTATGGCTTGAATATGACTATTGAAGGCTTATGTAACGTAAAAGTATTGCCTTTAACTCTAAATACTTGTGTCAATACTTATACATACACATCATGTTTAAGCCATAAGTCGAGCATTCAATACATAACTTATATTATATTAGTTTATACAGTATAAGTCATATACTACTCATTTAATATATAAAACGTATTATACATTATGTAATTGTGATGATTATGACTATTATTAGCAGTATTTAATGCATTTAACTATTTGCACACGATTTAACCCAATGTTATTTAATTTTAATTTTGTTTTATGTTTGTCCACACAATCATTTAAGTGACTTACAATATAAATATAAGATAAATCTCTTAAATACTATAATATTATATAACTTATAATTTATATAAGCTTATTTTAGTTACATTTCTTCTTATTATTATAAGATTTAATTAATTTTTCTATTAATTTTCTATATTATTTAAGTTAGAAATTAAATACTTTTAAATATAATTGGTTTCATACAACAACAAAATTATAAACAATTATCTCATTAGTCAAAAGCTATTAGAAAAATATGTTAAATAAAATAACAAATAAAAACCAATATACATGTATATTATATTATTATATTAATTACTTACTTTTTCTTTGTATTTTTTGAGTAAAATGCTATTTTTACTGTTGATGAATAGGTTGCAATTTTTGCTATGAAAACAACAAAAACAATAATAAGTGTAAAACAAAGTAATTTTAATAATATATGTAAAATAAAACAGTTGACAGAATTTTTTCAACAATTTTACAGAATTTCTCTTTCATTTACTTTTTATTTATTTATTTATTTATCTGTGTTTTGTTGGAAGTGAATGAAGTGAACGAAACATTTGAGAGACACTACTCTTAAACACAATTCAAAAGACAAGTAAAAGAAACAATTAAAATGAATTGAAATGAAAACACATTGAAAAAAAACTTACAAAAAAAGTTTTGTCTTTTGTTTATATATTTATACAATATATATACTGTATATAAATACTGTGTATATATATATTTACATACAAAAGTTGTTGTGTTTTATTTACGGTCCAAAGTTCAACACAATAATAACATTATTTATACGAAATAAAACAACACTACAACTAGTTGTAGAGTTTTATGAATCAAATGAGAGAAAGTTTAGGGAAAAAATGTAAACCGTTTTGTTTTTGCTATAAATAATAAATCACTTGAATAAAGATAAAATACGAGTTCAATAATTTACAATTTCAATAGTTTTTTAATAAAGCTTTATTGATATATATTGTAAAAGTAGGAAAAACAATTGTAAAATAATTACAGTAAATCACTGTTTGTTTGAAACAACAAAGTATATGTATATATATATATATATATATATATTATTTATATATATATGTACTGTATTTATATAAGAGTTGTAAAAGTGTTTAAAAATTGTGATGAAATCTATTGTAAAGAATATTCTGTGATATTCTTTAAAATAAATATTTTTGAAGTTTAACTTTTGAATCGCACACTTTTAACCCCCAAAACATTTACTAAACATTTAGAAAAATGTTTGGTTTTTTAAAATTCAAAGTCGATGTGATAGAGAAAAACACAGAGAAAGTAGTAGTATATGTTGTCTGTGTTGTCAGTTATGTTAATAACAGTGCAAACATCTTACAGTGCTCTCTGGGTTTGTAATGTAATGTTATATATAAGCTTGTGATGAGAGAGTTCATCTCTCAGTCAACAAATAAATGGGAACTCCAGCTCTTCATATTCCAGTGGTTGTGGGGGCGCACAGTGTGCGCACACATCCGTTGATAATGGCATCCATGAGTTGACACACACCGATGGATAGCTCGGCGGCACCGACAGTGCACACCAACACCACTTCACGCAAGTCTAAGGTATGGATAGGCATCAAGAAAACAAAAAATCAATACTATCTCTCTCTCTCTCTCTCTCTCTCTCTCTCTCTTTCTCTTTCCCAACTAATATGTATTGTCAATGAGAGAGAATAGGAGAGAATTAGAGGGTAAAAGACAAAAGACTTGGACTATTAGTACTGATATATATATATATATATATATATATATATATATATATATATATATATATATATATATATATATATATATATATATATATATCATATATCAGTCGAGCGATTTGTTTTGACTGAAACTCTTGAAGGCATACAAAACACATTATTGTCTTTAATATATATTGTGAGTCGACTTTATGTCTCTAATGTTTCTTATATGTTATTTTACTTTCAATTTTTTTTGTTTTGTTTAGTATTTATTTACCAGAAATACACGATCTCTACGTCCAACACATAAATATGATTGATATCTAATTGTCTGACAAATGATTGCATTACAACTAACTAAAAGCAAGAAAAAGAGCACATATTCTGTAATAATAATAATAATAAACACAATAAAACAAATAAACATAAAAGTTATACTTTTAGTATATATTAGTTTATCACATAAGTACCTATAATTGAATTGCGTATTGAATATTAAATAATATACAATATACTGTATATAAGTTTAACATATATTAATTTAATAATAAAATCAACAATAATTGTCAAATCATTTGTATTTTTTAATCTAATTTTGTCAGTTTAGTTAAATGTTTTATCACTTAATTTTAAATACTGTTTTATAAATACTAAAAATAACTAAATTCTATACTTATGATTACAAATTAATTAAATTAAATTTAAAAAAACTATTATTTCATATAAATAATATTGAAATAGTAATTATTTTTATTATTTCATCGACTTATATATAATATAAGTGATAAATTCATTTTCATAAATAATCGCTTTTATCAATTGTCAATGTTATTAAAATCAATATAAGTTATAATAAATAAAACCTTAGGTTGATATAAATTACAGTACTATCTATAAGCTAGAAAAAAACAAAAGCTAAAAAAATAAAATAAAAATGGTTACCAAAAAAAACTGAATGTCTAACCAAATCAAGTAAATGATGTGAAAAAGAGTTGATTAATTTGTGGCACAAAATTCAATGCAAACAAAACTAACAACAAAAAAATGAGTACATATTGTTTGTTCACTAACTGCTCTTCAAATGCTTGAAACAGTTGACTATTGTATCTATTTTTAGTGAAAAACATTTGAAATCAGTCTATTAATTGATATATTATTATTATTATTATTGTGGCACCGATTGTCCACAAAAAACTGATTGTCTTAACCATTTGAAAACTCTACTATTACTGTATTTTGTTGTCCGTCTCTTTTGATTAGTCTGTCCATAGCTTATCCAATCGATTAGCGACACAATTGCCTGTCAATGGTATGACCGCCACATAAATCTCATCTTACAATCCAATTGTGTGAACAATATTTGTGATTATAATGTAATTAAATGACATTTGTTTTTAGCATATAATTGACTCGCAAATAGCATCGATAACTGTTTATATGAGTTATAACACCTAAAAGTGAAAGTAAAATATATTGAATATGTTTTTGAAGAAAAAAAATTATTTTCAGTTAGTTGTCAATACTTATTATATAATATTGGTATCTATAACTCATAAATATTATTTAATATAATAATCTGTATATTAAATAATATACAGTATATACCAAATTGCCAATAATAAGTGTCAAAAGAGTATAATTAGTGAAATTGTATGTAATTAGTGATATGAAGTCCATTAATAAAGTCAATGATAGTAAAAGTGTCAGTGGCTTTGCACGTCCTCATGAAAACAGAGTTAACAGTAATTTCATGTATTTTATTGAAGTCATCACTTCATTCACGTCTTATATAAAGCAAACCATAAGAGAAAAGTCTTTAAGAAATGTTTGGTGAAAAATAAGAAAGAAATGAAGACATAATGCAAACGATTGGCACTCAAATAAATTCAATTATTATCACATTTGATGTCTAAAAATACTATTATATTATATATTATATATATATTATAGTACTTTACAGAGTAGTCTATAAGAGGAATCAATATTAGTTTATTTTTTATATAAAATTTGAATTGTATTGACATTCTATTGATATTAAATTGCATTATTATAATGTATAATCATTATAATTATTTTTTTAATTAATAATTTTATAGATATTATTTATTATTTTTAATTGTTAAATATATATGTATTTGATTGAGAATAAACATAAATATTACAAAATAAGCAAATTAAAATTAAAATAAAGTCAATGAATTAAAATATAATAAAATAATTATTTAAAAAAAAAATATTATTAAACATAATAATTGATTAATTATGAGAGTTTATTATTATTATTAAACACTTTGTTGGCCAATACGAGTGCCATTTGGACACTCCTGACAGTGCTGTTAACCAAATCCAATACGTCTTTAGATTTGATAAAATATGCATTATTTTTAATCAAACAATTTTTCATATCATCTTTCAAACTACACGACAGTTCCCGAACGGCGTCCTCTATAATGACGGTTCTGTAGCCTCTATTAAGACCATCCATAGCTGTCTGACCCACACAATACTCGTATAACACTCCCGTCACATATATATCAGTGATACCTAATTTTATAATTTACATATAAAAAGATATTATTAATATAAGTATAGTATACTATTATATCAAAATTTAGTTTGTTTTGTTAACAAAATAGTTAACACCATTTGAATTACCTAACTGTTGAAGTTTGTTATGCAACTCTGTTTCGCTACCCTTTCCCTTACTATTATTGGCAAACGCCGAGTGGCTATCAATATCAGGATCCATACCTTTAGCGATAAACATACTGTTCTCTGAAATTACTAAATCCTTATACAGTTTGGCGCCATCGCTATCCTGAGCACAATGTTTAGGACACAAATGTTGAACAACTTTCGGATATTTTTCATAAATAACTTGATCGCCGACACCGATGTCCGCAATATTTTTGCCAAACGTTTCAATCAGTGATCTATCGATATCCGTATTGTGGACACTATCGATAAACGAACAGTGATTCCATGGATGCCAATCATATGTATAGACAATGACATCAAAGTTGATGGTTTGGATCAACTCATTTATCACCGGCACTATTGTTTGGCCACTTTTTACAGTCATTGAACCACTATTTGCAATGAAATCATTTTGTACGTCCACTATAACCAATGCCGACTGGGGTTTCAATATAACTTTAATCCATTTTTCCCAAATTATATTAAATTTTTGGACATCTATTGTCTCATAATCTTTGATATTCAACGCATTTAGTAATTTTGTCTCTAACTTATCATTTAAATGATTTTCCCGGTATTTAGTTGAATAAAATAATAACTTGAATAACCGTCTGAACTCATCGACAGTCAAAACACTATTATTGTTAACATCAAGATATTGAAAAAGTCTGTCGCGTTGGTCATTGTCCAAGTGATGGACATCCAACTCAAACAGTGGTAACTCTTCATGCAATTCAAAGATATTCAATTCAGTCATTATTGCACTGATTTTTTTCTTCACTGAACAACACTTTTATATTAATGATAGAGTAGTTTAAAATTTTAAAGTAGTTTTTTAAATGTATAAAATTTAAGTATTAAAAAATATAATGTTATCATTTAGTAATGCTGTAACAGTAGTAATATGTAATAAAACTATTCATTATTAATACTGATGCTTATATATTTAACAAGTATATACTGTATATATATATATATATATATATAACTATTAATAATACTTTATAAGTGTTTAAATACACAGTAGTCATTGAATTTAATTTATTTTTATTACATTTTTATTTGACAACCAACTGAATTATTTAATAAATAATAATAATTGATAGTCATTGTCATAGCCACTGATAAAAAATAGACACTTGTGTTTTATTATTGTCAATTGACCCTAAAAATGATTATAGTTTTATTAATTCAATTCAATTGTCATAATCATATAAATTAGATAGTAGTTGAAAAAATAACATCTATTATCACATGTGATGACACCTGATATTACAAAATTTCATTGAAACGTTATTAAAATACAAATACAATTTTTATTTCATATTATGTTTATAAATTTTTGTTAAATTATTTGAACAGTTTTTTTAATGTTGAAAAATTTAGCTAATATTTGTTATTGCAATAAAAATCAAGCACTTGAAATTTTTATATACATAATATAAAAATAATTATAAACAAATATTTCAAGTTTTATAATAGAAATCTAAATATGGTAATAATGTTTTTTTCTTTAATTTATTTCTTTTAATTCATTAATAACTTCCTAATAACTAATGTAATATACAATTATAAATAACAACATACTTGAGGACTGTTTCCTTATATGAAATATTTATAGTAGTATTAAGCGATAATTAGTTCATATAATTATTGTTTTGCAAATTAAATGCTATTTAATGCCATTTGAAGGCAATATAAAGATATGGTATTCTTGACAAATGATTATTACTTAATGCTTTAATAATGATTTCAACAAATTTTTAACGTTTACTATTTGAACCCTATTATCTAATTAATTTTATAAATGCTGCATAAATACAGTATTATTACTAAGCGATTATTTTTTAATACAATATTATCATAACATTTAGTTTATCATATCATAACTGGGATTAAAATCTTATAATTTGTTGATGTACTATATCTATTAACCGGTAAATAAAATTTAATATATAATGATTTTATTTACAAAATTCGTTTCAATATTTAAGGAAATCAATTTTTTTATTATCATCAATATATTGCAATTTTAAACATATACACGTTAAGTTATTATAAATTTTAATTTATATCTACACCAGTTTATTGTTTAAAATATATTTCAGTATTTATAATTCCCTATTATTTATTTTTAAATAATAAATATATTATTAAAATTATTACAGTATTATTGTACTACACATAACCTATTAAATTTTAAAAACTATTTATAACAATTATATATTCGTAAATATAATAAATGTAAATATATTTTTAAAACAAACTCACAAATCAATAAATGTTTCGTCAAAACAATAAAATCAAATTACAGAGTATTATAAAAAAAATAATTGTTTTTCATATATGTATGTCTTTCATGATTTCCTCAATTCTGGTCGCACTCTCCAACATCTCTCTAAAGCACTTGTATTTCAATTTGTGATAACTATATATATAATAATAATAATAAATAAAACAATTTTTTTTATTAAAACCAATTAATTAAAAGTATTTATAATTCTCTTACTCTTGTAGTTCAGGTGTTGGTCTAAAATAGGTTGCGTCCAAATCGGGATAACTGACGAGTTTAGTGTTGAGGTCCTGTTTGAAAATGGAGTGATAGGCCAGTATAGCGGCGCCCACTAACATGAGGTCGGCGTCGCCCAAATCAAATGTTATGACATCAATGTTGAGGACATCGGCGTGCAGTTGCATATAGACATCGTTTTTGGCTAAACCGCCACTTATTAACACTTTTTTCAGATCAGGTATTCTGGTGTTTGAAAATAATTTAATTGCAATATTATTTATAATTATTTTTGTATAATATATTAAATAATTTTATTTTATTTTATTTTACTTGAGTTCATCTAAAATATATTTTGATTCATAGGCCAGAGCTTCGACAGCTGCGTGATACCAGTCCACGATATTATTACCATCCATTGTCAGTCCATAATAACCACCTAATATATTGTGTAATAATAAATTAATTAAAAAATACTAATTTAAAATACTAATTACAAAAAAATAATTGTTTAATAATCAATTATGTAATAATTTTTAAAAATATTTTATGTATAAATTAAAAATTTCATAACTAAAACTTGTTTTTTAAATAAAAACAAAAACAAAATTACCGTAATTATTATAATTAGAAAATCAATTAAATCTATTATATTATTATATTAATATTTATGTTATTATGTCATTTAATTTCTAACTTACAAAACAAGGTACTATTTTAAGTTCATTTAATTATTTATGAATAAATTACAATATATAGTAATTATTAATATCATTAGTCATAATTAAACTTAACAAAAATTATTTTAAAATTATAGCTTAGATTTAATAAAAATGTAATTTAAAATGCAAACAATTGTATTTAAACATTAAGTGCTAATAAATTAATTATTTGTTTTTCCCAAACCTTTCATATAAGGATTGGCTAAGAGTCTGGAGCCGTGAAAACATGGATTGACATTCAGTTTAGTTTTATATGGCTTTCCAAGTATCTGTTTGTTCAGATCTTTGATTATATCATTGATGGGTTTATCAGTTAATTTTTGATGATAATCCTGGTGATTTTTTATCACATGTTCCAGTAGTATACCGGTAGTACTTTGTCCGGCCTCACGTACATAATAGTTGGGAAAAATTGCATCATAATAGGGACCCCACACTCCTTCAGTAAAATATCGTTTATGAGTTGATATGAAATCACAGGTCGATGTGCCGGCAATCATACAAAACAGATTATCGTAGTCCAGCTGCTCGTTTGAGACCTCCTTGAGCTCGTGTGAAAACATACACATCGACAGAGCGCCCGCGTGGGCATCAATTAGTGGACTGGCTATTGATATATCAATACATTCATCGTTTATTTCGTTCAAATTTGAAATAAATCCGAAATCTTTGGCCACCTTTTTACTAACATATCCGATATGAGTTCCCGGCAATACTATTTTAGCTATACAATTGAAACAGTTTAATTTTTAATTTAAAAAAAATTAATTTCATACAATATAATGTATAATAGTTAAACATAAAACTTCTAATTTATAAATTATAGATCTAAATTATTCATAAATAATAAATAAATAAAAACTAAAATTAATTTGACCTAAGATTTTTAATAGATTCTTAGAGTGAAACCATAAATATTTAAAAATAAATAAATAAAATCAAACCTCCAATTTTGGATTTGTCTTTAACAAACTCTTCGAGACCAATGAGCTGCAAGAGGTCATCCCTCCAGCGTCTATTGACCGCATCGTAACCCCACTTACAGACAACACTACACACCGATCGGGGATATTCAGTAGCTTCAAAGTTAGAGCACTTCCAGGCCAACCAATCGGGTAACTCCATAAAGCCAACGGCCTCATCAAATCGTTGTCTTTGATGTCGTTTAGTCCATAATAGTTTAGCCAACGAAAACTCAGGCGAACAGTTGCCTCCCATTTGCTCCAAAACGGCATTCTTGATAATTGAAGTTATTATATATTTATTTATTTATTTGTTTAATTTATTTTATTATTATTAATATAAATACCTTAGTTTCTGTTATATACTTGGCCTCATTGATGGCCCGATGATCCATCCACATTATCACATCATTACCAGTTTTGCTAAGTATACAATTTTTTTTAATTTAACTCATTTATTACCTTTAAAAACTAAGTATTAAACAAAAATTACTTTTTATCAATTATAGCCAATGAACAGGTGGCCGAAAATGATATACCAGTTATTTGCTTATAATTAATATTAGCTGTTTTCATACAATTCTAATAGAAATATCAATTATTAAATAGTTAGATAATAGGGTATAAAAAACAGTATATAAATGATAATACCTGAACACATTCACAGAGTGCCGACCAGATCTCATCAGTGTTTTGTTCATAGATATGAGTATTAGTATTGTGAACAGTAATGGACTTCTTGTGTGTGGCCAGTGGTCGGCTATCGATAACTCCATCTACAAACTTGATAAGCGAAACCCGGACACTACCGCTGCCCACATCGACACCAATAACTATAGTTGTTTTATTATTATTACCCGACATTATTGCTATTATTTATTTGTAAATTATTTTAATATTATTATTTAATAAATACTTTTAAAAGAGAATCTGCTATAAAATTAAACACAATTATATCACAATAATATAAATAACTTATTAATAATAAGTTATTATATAATACAGATGTATTACAGATATAAATGTATAATAAATTTGTTATTTGATATATAACACTAGCTATCATGTAAATAATATTATATGATATAAACAAACTTTAATATGATTGACACAAATTAAAATCACAATTTCATATTCTATGAGTATATATATATATAATACAAATACAAACTTTTATATAATATTCAAGGATTTGAATGACTTGTATTTAAATATATGCTAAAACAAGTATTAAAATAGAAATCACGCGAAACTACTTGTAATTGTTGTGTAAATCAATTAAATCTAATTGCTATTAATAATATATTTATATATAACAGTATATATTTTCCCCAAATAAATATCAATTATCAATGATATAATTGTATATTTTTTTAGATATCATATGAAAAATATAAATATCAGAGTTAACTACGATACCAGTCCTTGGATTGAAAAATAAGGGGCTCTGATAGCCAATAAACTGGTAGACTCTCAAGTAATACTGTATTGGAAATCCTGTAGTGGAAAGTTGAATGTTTAGTTATATTTCAAAAATTAATGAACTTTTTTGTTACAAGAAATCAAACAACTTTTTTTGTTTTTGATATCAAAGGAATTTTTGCACAAAAAAATGTGAATTTAATATTATAAATAAATTAAATATATATTTTTAATGATGTGCTATAAATCTAATGGTATAAGAGGTATGACTTGTTTGTGTTTGAATTGTATGGTGAAGTAGCAAAAATTGTTTTGACATTTTTTACAAAATAAATATTTCAATATAGATATAACAGTAATGTTTACAATACTTTATACATACTTTGAGTACATAGATAACACATATAAATTACCGTAAATGTAATTTGCATTACTAAATAAATAACTTACCGGTATAACAATTTTGGAACTTTTACATAAAAATTGATAACAAAAAAAAATATATTATAAATTTATATATTGTATTATTTGAAATCAGCACTTATTGTTTTATTATATAATTTTGTTTTATTATATAATTTTGTTTTATTATATAATTTTATTTTATTATATAATTTTGTTTTAATAAAATTCTTTCAATTTAATACTCTATAAAATTTGTTATATTTTGTTTGTTTCATTGAAAATAATAACATTTTAGTAAAATACTGTAATAATGAATAAAAAATATAACTATTTATATAAATTACGGATAATATTATATTTAGAAATAAAATATTCACAAACTTAATGATATTATGTTTAACGACATAAAAAATAACATAAAAGTGAAATAATAATAAATTTATGACATATTAATTAAAAAAAAAAACGTTTTATGAATGTTGCCTAAAGTGGTACCGTTTTCTTGGCCATTGAACCGATGCGTTTGGACTTTCGTGTCACCACTTTCTTTGAAAATATGGGCGCAATGTTCTCCTTGTCGTCGTCATCGGTAAAGTCATAGATCGAGATATCATTTGGACTGCTATTAGTCACAGAAGTTTCAATAGATTTGCCTTTAGTTTGTTTAGCGGCGGCGGTCTGTCCTTTAGTTCTACGGCTGCGCTTAGCCTTTACTGTCTTTCCAGAGCTATTCCTCTTTGATGTTTTAACTTTAGTAGTGTCGACAGTGACAGCATTGGAATTGGCTGTCGATGTGGTGGCCATATTAACATCATTGACCACAATATCGTTCATGGCTTCCGTATTTATGGTGTCCATAGAGACCGAGTTGTGAGTAGTGTCAGCAATAAATCCGAAAGAGCTGATCCTGTTTTCTCGTGACATCTCCAATATTGTGCTCAATTCGGTCATAACTTGAAAGTCGTGTTTAATTCTATCGGCCGACAGACGCCGTCGGATATCCTGTTCCTGACTTGTGAGTGAATACCGATACGACTCGTGTCTCGACGACTCATTTAATGTCCAAAATGGGTCAACGCTTTCGTTAGTAATGTCTGCATCGGCAGCGACCGTATTGTTGGTGTTGCTGTTGTTGTTATTGGACACAAGGGTTGACTCTAACGATGTCATCACACCTTTCATTGTTCCCACTTTGTTGTCGACTTCGATGAGGACGTCAACCATATATTTGATGCGATCGATCACTTCACAGGTGTTGACCATTGATTTGATCTGTTGTTTGAGTGACTCGTTTTCAATCCTGGCTTTTGTCAAATGCTGTTTTTGCTCGACATTATTGTTTGACTTCTTCCTTAACGACTCCTTATATGCGGATAACTGTGACTTCAGTACAGAGTTTTCTTTGGCCAGTCTTTGGTTTTGAATCAATACTTTGTTGTGTTCTTCGACTGGTTTAGCAGTCGTTTGAAGACATATACACACAAAAAAAAGATATCATTAATAAATGTAAAACCAATTTGGTTGACATATCATATCCAGACATACCTGATATCTGTTTATTGTAGCCGAAGAGTGTCAAAGATCTGGCGGTTAATCCGTAACCAGAGGTACTATTTTGAGACAAACTTGTCTGCAGTGGTGTACGCTTTGTCGATAACTTCTTGTAGTTGTTGTTTGCCATCTGTTTTGAGTTCATCGATGGGTTTTTTCTTCTGATAGTAAATCAATCAATCAATGGATCAGTTAATCGATGGACACAACCAACCAATGGATTGCAATTCAATGAACTCAATGATCGCGCGCTTCAAACAATCAATTGCTTCAAAAATCAACCGTCAATTACGTGACACTTGTATTTCGCTACCCTTTTATATAACTTATAACATGTAATTCAATTGGCATCCAATGTGTCCCACACTTGACGTTATTTATGTTCAAAGTGTAATTTTATTGCATAAACCTATTATAAATAATTAAACTTTTTTTTCATTGGAAATTAAAATTTAATAAATAAATAAAATTTATAAGTTATATAATTTATAACCAGGATCATTTTATCATATATTTCCCATAAAGACAACAAATTTTTTAACATAAATATTATTCATAATTATTACTTATCTTAATATTTCACAATTTTTGTGTTTGTTTATCTAGTTTTTATAGACATGTATTACTTGTATATATATACTGTATATAAAGTACAAAGTTTTTTGTGTTCAGTACAAAGTTAATTGAAAATTATAATTGAATTTTAATGTCTATGGTTTAGAAAAAATGTGGTTTAATTTTGTTAGTAATACATACAAACAAACAAAACTAAACTAAAAGTAATTTTTTAATTTATAAGTAAATAATTAATTCATAATAATTTCAAATTATAAATTTTTTTTGATAAAAACAGATGTTCATGAGTTTTCTAAATTAATATTTTCACGAATTCCTGAAAGGAATACGTATATGCATTCTAAAAGTCTGTCCGTCTGTCCGTCTGTCTGTCCCACGAGGACATAGGTTCGAATCCAGGCTCCGCTGCAAAAATTTTTTTTGATTTTTTTTTGATTTTTTAAGTTAAGGAGATCGTATGGGAATGCTTTTGAAGCATTCTCAACTGTTTTTTTATTTTTTTTTAATTTTTTCCTTTTTAAGTTAAGGAATTCGTGTGGAAATGCTTTTAAAGCATTCTCAACTGGTTTTATATTAATATTTTTTTTAAATATTAGTAATAATAATAACAATATGATATTATTTATAATTATTACTAATTTTTTTATGTATTATTCAATGTTTCTATTTATATAAACTCTGAAATATGTATTTAATTTTCAGCAAATTATTTGAATGTATTTATCTATCAATTGGACTCATGTTTAGACTAATCAAAACAACATCCGTGTCCTTCAATAGTCAAATTGAAGTTTACTTTTTAAACTTATTAATTGTAATTACTTATAGTCTATAACACATTTTATCACAACAACAACAAAAAATATACATTTTTAATAATCCTTTAATTGTTAAACTATAAACATTTATTCATAAAAGCAATCAATCAAATATTACTTAAAATATTATACATGTATGTTATAGACTATAGTATATGTATTTAAATTATCAGATTATTTTAATTTAATTATTACTCATAATATCTGAATACACTTTAGTATAATTTCAGTAATTTTTTGTTGTAAATATTTTAAGTCTTTTTAAAAAAATTTATTAAATTAATTATTTTGAAGAATTTTTTTTCTAATCAAAAAAGTAATGCCAGTTCAGACCAATGCCGATATTACCGCCGGTTTGGTGCAAGTCTTGAGGGGCAAGTTCTTGGCTGAGTTTGCCATAACTCACGACGAGTTTGACAGTCGAGACATCGATAATATACGCAACAGTGATGTTATTATTCGCAGATATCTCGAGTACAAGAATGGAAGTATTGAAGAGTCATTGAAGATGTTGACGACTGCCATGAAGTGGAGAAAGTCGTTTGGTGTCAATGATCTCAAGGAGTGTTCGTTTCCGCGCGAATACTACCAAACGGGTGGTCTCTTTACGTACGGAACCGATCTGAACGGCGCCCGTCTTATCATATTTCGTGTGATGTGCAACAAGAAGATCACTGTTTGGACGGAACAGTTGAAGAAATTTATTGTTTATCTCATTGAAAATGAAAGCATCAAAATAGCTAATAATGAATGTCCCGGAGTTTGTATTGTGTTTGACTGTAACGGCGCCGGCATCTCAAACGTTGACACCGATTTGCTTTCATTTATTGTCCATAGTTTTCAAGACTATTATCCAATGGTCTTGCAATCAGTGATTATACACGAACTGCCCTTCTTATTGAACTATGTCTTCAAATTGGTGTTGTCGTGGCTGCCGAAAGACCATCGGGAAGTATTTCATTCGGTCAAAAAAGATGATATCAATCAATACATAGCTAGTGATCAGTTGCCTGATTTTATGGACGGAACCAATGAAATGCCATACAAATTGTATCCAAAATCAGCACTAACTGCTCACGAGTTAGCCCCACAGATTGGTATTAATGATAAAGATGTGGAAAAGCTGATCCAACACGTCCAACAGTTTATCGATAAATAATGATTTACTGATTATTATTTGTTGTTTTTTATATTTAAGTATTTATTAATTTACTTTTATATATAATTATTTATCTAATTATGAAAATATAAATGTGTTTTTTTAATTATTAATTAAGTCTATTTTCATAAAAGTGGTTTTTTTATCATTTAATACATTTTTAATATAAAATTTATAATTTGTAAATCTATTTGTTTTCATTTGAATATAATATTAATTTTAAAGCTGTAATTTCAGTGTCTTTATAAATAAATAGCACCAAAAAAAGTTTTTCTAATTTCCTTATTTATATCAAAATTAAATATATTTTATCAAAATTTAGACATTTACGGTAATCTGATTTTTATTAAATCATTGACTTTATAAATAAATACAGTACTTATCTAATCATTATCATTATATAGGAAAATAATTAGTGAATTTATTTAGCAGTATTATTATTACATAAACAAAATACAGTACTTAAAACTAAATTAAAAATAGCATTTTATCACATTTTGACAAAATGATTGGTTAATCGTTTAATTTAATTTTATAAACATTTTTGTCAAATTTTTATTTATAATAATTTTTGTTTAGTTATCATAAATATCAGATGATTTCATATTTAAGTCAACTTTATAAAACTACAATTTTTGATTTTATTATATTTAATATGTTTTAGGACTACAACTGAAAACTTTTTTAACGATAATGAGCGGAAAAATATTAAAATCTCCGATACCTACCATTCCCTATCCGGAGATATCGGTTGCCAAATACATAATCAATCGACTCATACAATTTAATGGACAAAAAACTGTTTTGGTTTGTTTTTTAATAATAATTTTAAACTTAATTCAAAATTGCAATTAAATGTATTTTTTCAATTAAAATCTTAGGTCGACTGTCCCACTGGCCGTCGCCATAATGCACTACAAGTGTCTGACCACATCCTTAACATTGCGGCCGCTTTTATTGAAATGGGATTAAATAAAGGAGATATCGTATTGTTTGTCAGTCCAAACAGCGATTATTATGCAATCGGCTTATTGGGTGTCATTGCGGCCGGTGGTGTCTTCACCAGTTGTAGTGAACTCAGTTCATATCGTAAGTTATTAATTAATTAATATTTCAAATCAATTAAATTAGTTTAATATATTATGTTAATTTAACAAGGTGAACTATTTAATGCTGTTGAGGTAACTAAACCTAAATATTTGGTTAGCACTTACCATCATTTGGACAATTGTCTCAAAATTGCTGATGAATTTCCCGGAATAAAAGTTTGCATAATAAAAGCATTAAATAATATAATGTTTAAAATATTATCCGAAAATTTTTATAGAAAATCATTTATATTGCAAACGATTGGAAATCAAATTTGGATCCACGGGTTGTCTCATATTTCAAACTCTATGAATACAATCGACACAATTGTGACTATGAATTGCCAAAACGGGTCGACTGTAAGAAAGATATGGCAGCACTGTTGTTGTCGTCGGGATCTACAGGTCTGCCCAAACCGATAATTAGGAGTCACCAGAATGTTATAAACTTAACTCATCAGTTCCAGCACAAGGAGGTGTGGGGTCTCACTGAGAAAAGTGTACAGTCGTGTCAAAACACATTTTGTCATTCAGGAGGACTCACCTTTTTGTTGCACTGTATATAATCACAAAATAATTACTCTATTAATAAACATTTAATTAAAATTATAATTCACACACAATCATAGCAATAGCATCGGGAGCTGTAGCGGCAATTATGCCAGGTTTTGAAAACAACAAATTTATTAATTATATTGAAAAATATAAGGTTTGTTATTAATGTATAATATGTAATACTTAATTACGGTAACTATTTTTTAGATAACGGGAGCATTTCTGGTACCATCATATGTCATAAGTTTGGCCAACACTGACGTCACCGATAAAGATGTTTTGTCATTCAAAGAAATCATATGTGCCGGTTGTCCACTACCTGAAGGAATAGCCGATAAAGTGGTCAACAATTTAAAACTTGAATACTTTCGCCAGGGTATATAAGCAGCACTGTTAGCCATTGTAATTAATTAATATTTATTAACAAAAAAACATTATATGTACTCTTATTATAGGTTATGGTATGACTGAAGTTGGCTTTTGTACCCAAGTCTACCGAAGCGCAAATATGGCTCACAAACGATCGGTTGGTTGGTGTGTACCCGACTCTCAAGTCAAGGTAATTGATCCAAAAACAAAGCAACTGTTGGGTGCAAATCAAATCGGAGAGATTTGGATTAAGAGTCTTCAGGAGACTCCGGGATATTTCAATTTAGACGAATTGAATAAAGAGTCGTTTGATGATCAAGGCTTCCTCCGATCGGGTGATGCCGGCTATTATGACGACAACGATCTCCTATACGTAATGGACAGGTATAAGCAAATAATTAAAGTCGAAGGCGTTATTGTGTTGCCGTCTGAGTTGGAGTATCTATTGCTCACTCACGAGGACGTGTCCGAAGCGGCGGTCATTGGTGTCAAACATGACTACTATGTGGAAGTGCCTAAAGCTTTCGTTAAACTTAAGCCCAATAGGAAAGTGACGACAGAGCAGCTCATTGAGTACATCGATGGACAGGTAAATAGTTTTAAGAAACTTAGAGGTGGACTAACTGTTGTCAAAGAGTTACCGAAAACTCCTTTGGGAAAGATTAACAAAACATTGCTTAAATGATATTATTTTTTATCTTATTTTTTGTTATAATATTTATCTTAAATAATAATGTTTATAATATATTATATTATTTAATTGATAATTACAATTGATAAATTACACAACAAACAAAATGAGAAAAATTTATTACTTTATATAAATTTATAGATGAAATACAAAAAAAACTATAAAATGTATTAAATGATAAAAATAATGTTAAAAGTAAACAAAATTAGTTAGTTTGCTAAAAAAATTGAAAAAATAATTTAATTTACAAATAGCTGATGATAATGATGAATGATATTATGAAGCGATGGCTAACAAAATTAGTGATGCGTTGAATCAAATAATTGTCTCAAATGTGGCAGTCCTTGAGGTTGAGTGGGTGTCCTAAAGCCCAGTAGATCCCGATTCCCATAAAAGACATTATCATTGAGTGTGGGCTGACTACTATTGATATTACTACTATTGGTATGCTGATCTATTCGGGCCATATCGTCATCGGAGACAAATGCCCGCGAAGTGGCCAATTTGGTGACCGGCGGTGCTCTCAGTTTTGTAATGTATAGATAGGCACCGATAACCAGTCCCATATGAATTAATGAGACGATTAGCGCCGTATAAAATATAGCCAAACCTGTGTTACAATCTTCACATTCATCCGGTTGTCGTACAATAGTATCATCTGTTATGAAGATAATCATTTGGGATATCATTAGAGTTATTGTATGAAATAATTTTCAACTATAAATCAATTGTATCGAAAAACTTACGTTTTTGTAATATTTTTGGATTATTTTGTTTATTATAGTTATTATTAATATTATTGTTATTAGCGTTTAAATTAGTATTTGTGTTGCCATTAGGCGAGTCTTTGTCGTCGTTTACCATTAGTGTCAGTGATAGCGGAAATTCTTCTGGTTGTGGTTTCTGTGTCGAGGCTATGACTTTAGCTCGTTGTGAGGCCCGAGGAGGCGTCCGAGAGGGTCGTGAATCACCCCATTCTAAGTAAGATGAATGAAGTGGTGGACGTGTCTTACGAGTCGATGGCTTTGCCGTACTGGTCACGGATTGAGCCGGCGATTCACGCGGCATATAAGCTTCGTTAGGATTGATATATTGTGGCGGCAAAGGTGTAGCCAATAGCTTTGGTTGTTCAGGGAATGAGTGTGTGTTCATCATAGGCTGCAGATATGGAGGATGTGGTCCAGGATATTGATGATGATAGGGATAGTTTGGTGCCGATAGATGTTGTGTTGATTGCCAAGAGTTTCCATTAATATTAGTCTGATTTGGTAATTGATAAATGTTTGGGGAATAGCCGTATGGATTAGGATTGTAATGATTGGGATAAAAAGCATTTGGATTTTGATGATTATAAGGACTGTTGAAATTTTGATTAAAGTTTGGATTATTTTGATTATTTTGATTATAATTATTTTGATTGTTTTGATTATAATTATTTGGATTATTTTGATTTCCATAATAATTATTATTTTGATAACTATTTGCCATTTGATTATTTCCACTATTATGTGGATAATTATTTTGATTATAGTTTGTTTGATAATATTCTCTGGGATATGAAAAGTGAGTCCGAGTTTTCGGTTGAGTAACAGGTACTGGAGCTGGTGTCGGCAGTTGGCCATTGTTTCCATACATAAGATTGTTGTTGTTATAAGTTGACGGAACAGTTGGTTTAAGTGAATGGACGGCCGATATGTCCGAATTATTTGTAACAATTTGTTGTTTGGTATCCGCTAACTGTTGTTGAGGTATAATTTGGGAACTTTGACTCGACTCTTGTGGTTGAGTCTGAGATAATGGTTGAGGCATTGGTTCAGCACTGGTACTTATGTTAACCAATTCCTCCATTAGAGCACTTCTATTTGCAGAAACATTGGTATGATTTAGGCTATTGTTTGGTTCGGTTTTATTTGATTTGTTTCGTTTATGAACCGCAAGAATTGTCTCATCATTTGGTATAAGAATTGGTTTAAGTGACTCATCTTTTCTCAAAGAGTCTGTTTTATTGATAAAATCTTCTTCAATAAGTTTTTCAGACTCATTGCCATTGTCTTCATTAATAACATCTCGTTTACGTCTTCTTCTTCTTCTGCCAAACGATTCAGTACCAGACGTACACTTAATTGGTTCACATCTTTCCTGACAAAATCTTATCTGTACTTCAAAGTTGACGACACCAGTAGTCGGAAATCGGAACGCCTTGAATGTGGAGAACAATGATTTTCTATCTCTTGAATCGACTTGAAGTGCCGGAAATATTGCCGGATCTGTTGGACAACCGTTGTTGTCAATCAAGAAAAGTGATTCTCCGTTAGTACTTCTGGCGTATAGATTTCGAGCGAAGACAGCAAACGCCGAGTTCGGGTCTTTGAGTTCTATTCTGAGAACTAATTCATCGCCCAAACCAACCAACTGTGCGTCGCCACCACTTCTGTCCACTATTCGCATCATAACTGCCGGCGGAGGCGCTGTGTTTGTCACTACCGATGTTATGGGCTGTTCCAGTCGTGACCTCGCATTTTGTAGAGAACTATTGCAAAACATTTATTTAAAAAAAATTGTATAATAATTGTAATATAAATACTAACGTAACGTCTATTCCTCCGGGTTTACCAACATCTTGATTGCCGTTCATAAGAGTGACAGTTTGGTCGCTGGCCTCAAACGAACAGAGCACTCGTATTGTACGATCACTATCTGTCATAATGACAGCGTGTTGTTGTACTATCACTTCATTAGCAAAATTGTTTTGACCCTAAATTATAAAATATAATTAACTATTGGATTAAATATATATTTTTCATACCTCTCGTCGTGTACCACATTTTGTACCCAAAGAAATTGCAAACTATTCAATGAAAAAATAAATAAATATTTTATTTATTTATAGATAAATATAAGACATGTATAATAACCTGTAGTTGTGTTTGTCCGGTGCCCACAACAAAACATTGCGATGGACTACCCTTGGCGTAGACCCGACCGTTGAATGGACTGTCAAAGTTAAGTGTAAGCACCATATCCTGTTGGTTACATTGGACGCTCACTAAAAAATAGATTTTAAAATAATTAAAAAATATTATATATAGTTTGTAATTATGAAGTTTCCCTACAAACCTTGTTCACAATTGCCTTTTTCACTAAACAATGAATTTCTTCGGGGAACTAATGCGTTTTGAGACTTGCCGAGTGAGACCAAGTCCTCACTAGATAGGGCACAGTCGCGGGCAAACGTCTCGTAGTTGACCGCACGGCACGGAAATAGACGCTCGGAATCGCACTGACGCTGACAGTCGGCCAACGAAAAGGCGTGTGTAATGCGATCGATATACGGAAAGAAGGTGTCCTGAAAGTCCTTGTATTGACACGTCGACGGCTCTGGTATTACAAACCAATTGGTTATAAATTAAAATAAATTGTTTGATTGTCTTTTAATTTAATAGTCAAATACCTGCCACACATTGATTTTCAAAGTAATCAATGAATTCGTCGGTCTGTTTGAAAGTTTGTGGTCTCGAGCGTCGGGTTTCGGCAAACAATTTACAAATCCGTTTACTATAATCAAAAGTAGCCGATCGACACACAAACGACTTTTCCGCTAAACAAAGATCCTGACAGTCGGTTCTCAACAATATACTCGGTATCTCCTTATCAGCGGCTTCTTCTAGAGTGTGTCCGATTAGTCGCTCAAATGTCCAAATTTTTTCGCATTTTTTCTCTATAAATATAAGTAAATCCATCTATAATAACAACTTCTGTAAAGTATATGTAGTTAATAATAATAAACCTCTTAAACATATTTTTTCAACATATGAAGTGTCGTCCACTTTGTTAAGTCTATTCCTGTTTTCAGACGCCGCCTCATCCAAGAAGAAACAGCTCTGCAACTGTCCGTACTCTATGACAAACGCTTTACATCTATCGCCCCGACGAAGACATTCGTCCTGACAATTAATTATGACACCCAGTCGTGGAGGTATAGGTGCTCTCTCTCGTCGGGCATAACGTAAATCATAGCCAAATGTCTTTTCAAATGTGTATTGATTAGGACTACAGTGGGCAGGTGTGTGAGCGATCACATTATGAGGTGCCTCTTGTGTTGAATGCAATGGTGACGGCAGTGGTGTCGGTGACATAAAAGTTGGTGAAATGTTCGGCAAGTGTTGAAGTGGTGGTACTGGTATACTGGGGATAGGCATACTTGGGACTGGTATGTGATGAAGGTTTGACTGCATTAATGGTGTGGCCGGTACTCGATTGCGTTGATTCGTTGTTACGCAGTCTTTCTCCGCATATAAAGCTCGGGGTCTAAATTGCATCGATCCCTGATGACTGGTGGCCCGATTATCAGCACTTAATAAACATAGATTACCTCCCGGAGCGTTACTTCCATCAGGACTGTCCAAATAAGTATACGACCGACAGTTAAACTCTTTTTCGTGATCACACGCCTGTTCACAATGAAAAGTGGACGTTCCTCTAACCGATTTGGTCACCGATACTATGCTTATGTCGCGTTCAATAGGATGGTATCGACACGAAAAGGTATCTGTAAATCATGAGTTTTAGATAAATCAATAATTATTAATAACTATTATTATTACTGAATTAGTTAATTAGTCAACAATCATACCGATAGCGCACTGATTTTCCATATAATCGGTGCCTTTTGTGAACAGTAATGTCATAGTATTGGAGTTCCTGTCCTCCGAGTATAGCCTACATTCACTGAGTGCTGAATCATAACTGGCTGACAGACATTTGAATTTGCGTTCTTCGAGACACCGTTTCCTACATTCGCCTCTCGATATGAACCGTATTTTGTCCTGAGGTATGGCCCCAACAGACGCCTGATCTACGATACGGTCAAACGGCCAAAATTTGTTGCACTCTATATGATTGGGTACACAGAAACCCTCGAAATAGTCCTTTCCCATCGATAGCCGTAAATCAAGATTTCCGACGGAACTGTTCTCAAACAAGCCGTGACACGACTGGTGATAGTAGTCGACTACGAATGCTCTGCATTGAGTTGAGTGCTCACACCTACGGGCGCATTCGGTCACAATACCCGGGGTCTGGAGGTCACTGTAAAGTAATGTCAAATGGCCACCAATTGGCTCAAAACTGGTCACTTTTTCAAAGAGATAGCGTGCGTGAGGACCACATTTTGAAGGCTCTGGTATATTGAAAATTAAGACAATAATTAGTTTAAATAATTCAAAAATATTAGATACGATATATAATTAAGTGAATAAATAAATAGCTTACGTGTAGGTCGTAGGCCTTGCGATAGACTATTCAAATCTGATTCAAGTGCTCTCAATTGTGGACTGTCTTGAGGTTTGGAAGCGGACTGTTGGCTGGTTTGTGATTGTTGTGGTGAAAGTGGTGATAATGGCAGTGATGGCTGTTGCTGTGCAAATGGATCAAATTGTGCAGAAAAACCGTTACCTTTTGGCGGAAGTGTTGGTATCAATGAGGCCGGAAACCGAGTGATAGGACCGACTCCGTCATTACCGGTTGCATTAGTGACTGGTTCACTGGTGCCACGTGTCGGCGTTGGACTGGGAGTGGGCAGTGTTGCCGATGTCGGCAATGTTGGACATACTCTTTCAAAATATATAATACTGGATCTCTTTTGTATGGCTGCTGTACTGGCACTGGCCCTGTCGTCACCCGATATAAAGCACTGACCATTGCTTGAATAATAAGCAAAAGAACGGCACAGAAATCGTTTGTTGTCATTGCAGTAGTTTTCGCAGACTTCATGTGAGGAAACACCGTTAGTCTCGACCAAATCGGTATACGTTGGATAGGCGTCTAATGTTTTCTCAAATGGACAGGTAGTATGACTGCGAACACATTGATTTTCCAGATAATTAATTTTGAGACTTCTTGATCGGTAATAACTCGATGGACTGGTACGTCTGTCCTCTTGCGATAGACGACATTCGGTAGTGTCATCATTATAGAGGGCCGACCGACAGGGAAACTCCCTTTCCTGTAGACAGTATTCCTCGCAATCTCTTCGACTTTGAACAAAGTTTAATGTCTTTTTGTAGAGAACTGGCGCTAATTCATAACCTAATAAACAAATAGATAGTATTGTTAGAAGAAAATACCAGACATTAATATATGAAATAAATTATAAACCAAGAACTCGTTCGAAGGCCCAGAACTTGTCCTGACATTGGGTCATGATTTGAGGCACTCGTAGGCATATCTTTTCAAAATAACTTTCCCCTTCACGTGGTATTAGTTCACCAGCCCTTCCCTGTGAATTTCTGTCCAATTTTTCGCATCGATTACTCTGATAGTTAACACTAAATGCCGGACAATTGAGATTAGCGGCATCGCAGCTCTCTCGACAATAACCAGTCACACCCAATGTTCCGATATTCGGTAACTCGACTGCCGTAGTCACTGCCGACCGGAGTACATGTCCCGTCATTTTTTCGTAAGTGAATATACCGTTAGTACAGAGTTCAGCCACACACGTCCTCTCGCCATAAACGCCGCCCTTTTGTGTCGGAAGTGTTGTACCGACAAGACTGACGCCATCGTCACCACTGAGAACACACCGGTTATTCATATAACTAAACGATCGACAATTGAATGTCGACTCGTGATCGCATTGGGACTGACACTCGTCCGGTGAGTGCGCGAACAACAGTAAGTCCATTGACAGCACCGAAAAGTCGGGTTTTGTACGGTAGACACATGAGGACGGACCTAATCAGCGTATTAGACATATATTCATATATTATTTTATAATTAATACCGTACTCTAACTATCATATTATTATATTTTTGTATAGCATTTTCATTTATAACATTTTATTTTATTTTATCACGTATTTAATAAATATTTTTATAATTAGTTATAATTTTTAAAATCTAATAATTAGTCTGTTATAAAAAAATCAGGTAATATTCAATATGTTTTCTATGAGTAAATTATGATTATGTAAATGTATTAATTGTTTTAATAAGTTTACGTGATTTTTATTTGAATTTTTTGAAAATTTATTTAAAAATATTTATAATATGTTAGTAAGTAGCATAAGTATAATAATTTATTTATTAATAGTTATAATATTATATTAAATAAAATAACTTTCAATCAAACTTATCAAATGTATATTTAATTGCTAAAGTTATGTTAAAAATAGCCAATTTTGATTAGATTTGAATTTTTATGTAAAATAAAATATTAAAATCTGTTTATAAATACTTTTAAAACCCCTTTCTATTTTTATGTACATTAGATATTAAATAACCTTGTTCATTCAATTTGTTGATCTAAATATTTCTATAATAATTGTTTCAAATAATTAAAAATTATTTTTAATTAATAAATAAATTCGTGTCAAATATTTTAATACATAATTTATAATGACCTCATAAAAACATTATAAATCTGAAAAAATGTATTTCATAATTGTTTAATAAATCAAGATTTTTCTTTATTTAAATTCACTATTTATCTGGATTATCAATTAAAATAATAATAATAATAATTTACTATTATATTAGATCTATCAAAATCAATAAAATTTAAGTCAAGGCTTTTAAATTATTATTCAATAATTATATAAGTGTTATAACGGCTATCAAATTGGTTCAAAATTAATTATTAGAGAGTACTGTTATAGTACTGTATATAAAATGTAGTGTTATATAGAGTTAATTTATCTGATGAGGACAGTCAACATTATGTGTACATATAGTACATCACTACCAGATAACAGTCCACTTGAAGCACACTTCCGCTACAATTATGCAAATATTATGCATAAACAGGCGATACAATTAATTTTTTTTATTTAATAAATTAAATATTTTAACTGTTTTTTGCAAAACGGGACCATTCATTATGATACTAATTGTTTTTAAATGCAAATCTATTTATTTGAACAATTAATAATAAATTTAATAATAGTTTTGTTATAAATAGATTTTTTTTGAAATACATTTTAAATGCTAACAAATTGCTTAATAAATTGCTAACAAAATAGGAAAAAATAATTTTATATCTAAAACTTCCTCATTAATTAAAATATTAATACTTTTGAATTTAATAAAAAAATAGTCAGAAAATAATAAATAATTTTATAATAAGACTTTTGATGACTTACCCGAAGCGGCGCATTGATTCTCTAAGTAATCTCTGGTACTGTTATCTATCTGTCGGAAAGCTTGTGGTTGTGTCCGACGGTCTTCTTTAGACAGACGACACACCCGTCGGGTAACGTCGTAGTCGACACTTCGGCAAATAAAACTGTTTTCTGTGAGACACAACTTTAGACACTCCTCTTTAGTGCCAATATTTTCTAACAGTTTCTCGACAAACCCCTCCAGAAAAGCTCCCTTTACTCTCTCAAAAGCCCATAGTCTCTGTTGGCCACATAACTGGTCGAAGGTCTCCCTCGGGATGCCCTTCAAACAGACTTTCTCAAAGAAGTTGGTGGTGACCGAGTGCTGCAGTCGATCCCGATTGCGTTGACTGGTCTCGCCATAAGCCGAACAAATAAACTTTCCATAATTGAGACCAAATGCATGGCATTGTGACTGTTGTTTGCAAAGGTTGACACAATCACGGGTTAGGGCTACATCTTGATGTTGTAGGAGTGTGCCAACTGAGTTGACACCTGAGCTGTAATCTGTAACCGATGTTTTCTCAAATGTCTCGACTCCGCCAAAACAGTTCTGCGAGTCGACCACTGATCGGGCTATAACTGACAACACTATCGGAAGCATTAATAACTTTTTGGCCATTATTGGCCATCAACTGGTCATTAAAACTTAAGAAAGTTTTATTAAAAATTATTAACTTTTTATTATTAATACACAAACAACCAGTTGTTAACCTTTTATGCGATAACTAGAAACTAATTGGTGTAAGCAATGACATTCTCGTTCAATACTGACTACAAAAAAATGTTAAACTATTTGTTTGTTTCAATTGTATTCATATCTCAATCTGTCTGTCCGTCTGTCTGTTTAGTATATGAAAAATATTTTCATAAAAAAAGTTTTATTTTAAAAAATAATTTATAATAAGTTACAAACACAATGTAGATGTGATATGATTTCCGTCCGGTGACTACAAATGGCAATGGCTTTGCTCTACAGGAAGAGTAGCCTTTATAGGTATAATAATAATATAATAATAGGAAGAGTTATTATTATTATTATTATTATCAAATGGCTAATGTATAGACAAAATAGTCAACTATTGTTTGATTCAATTGCAATGGCTATACTAAACAATTACACTGTATTTAAAAAATATTTTGTCATAAAAAATCATTTTTTTTGAAAGCAATATTGTATTGTATCGATAGTTAATGATTTGATTTAACTCATGACACGACCTTTCCATGTATTTCATATTAAACGTCTAATTGTTTGTTAACATTCAATTTATTGTATATATTTAACTTATCTAAAAATATGTTAAATACAGGTAATGAAAATATATAAAATATATAAATTGAATGTTTCATTAAAATGAAATTTTTAATGCAACATTAAATTTACTAAATGTATTATAACATGTTTCTATAATAATAATATAATATAATATGTATATATTTACTAAAATTTATATTTATTAGTACTATTAATATAAGTAAATTATATACTGTATATTAACATTACCAATATATAAAAGGTCGTTTATTAGGGTTCAATAAAATTTACTCACTTTAATTTTTTTCCATCAAAATTTTATATTTAATTTATTATATTCAATATATTTTGATCAAATTAATTGTTACATTTATTAAACATTGTTTTAGCACATTTACACATAAAATAACTAAATTTATTATATAATTAATTTATAATTTGAAATAATTAATGAAAAAATAGTGATATATATATATATATATAATTAAATGGCAATTAGAAATTTATAATTAATATTATATTAAATTGTCATTAAAAATATTGCTAAAAACACTTTTTTTAGTAAATACTGATTAAGTGTTTAATAACATATTATAAGTTTATTATTGCGATGAAAGTGGATATTAAATAAAATTATTTTCCTTATTTTGTGCCAAAATTTTATAATCATTATTTTTTTTTGTCTTATTAGTGGTAAAAAATAATACCAAATAAGCAAAACTGTTGAATACATTATTTTTATAACTTTTAGCTATAAAATAACCAATAATTAATTGAAATCAATTTTGAGATTTCACTGTTTATTATAAATTAAATGTAATGTTTTGACAGTTTTAAGTTTAAGTATAAACTTATTAATTTAAGCATAAATTTTATCTATCAATTTAGTATTAGTTTAATTATTTATTTTTTAAATTAACACCAATTTTGATAATTAATTTTAAACTACTGTATAATTACTATTATTAATTAAATAATAATTTCTATTAATAAATACACTGTTTATATGATAAATAATTTAATTTAAAATAAAAAAGTTAAATCATGTATTAAATAATTTAATGGTCAGTCCATACCAGTGCCCAATCAATAGGATTCCCAATGATTTGATAATTAATTAACCGATAATTAAAAAAATTCAATTCAAATGAAGCGCTCATTGATTGCAATATATTTGTGTGTAAAATGTGTTCACAAATAATGTCAATAAATATTAAAAAAACAAATGTTTTTCATAAAACTATTGAATTGAATTATCGGTAATAATATTATTCATACAAATTGTGACCATATTTTGACCAATAATTGGTGTCACGTTAGATAAGATCACTGAAAGCTACAAAGCGGTCATTCAAATGGACAGACGCGACGACAATACCGGCCGACAACAGACTTTGGGAAAGCCATTACCGCATTACGTGTGTCGCGGACTACCACCGCCAGCATCGTCGGTAACGGCCGTATGTTTTGCCGACATCGACACCGAAAGCTATATGATTTTTGGCACCGATTGTGGTCAAGTGATACACTGGTCACTGGACACATATCGGTCACAATTGGTTTATGACAGTCAACACAACTCACGGGTTCAACAATTGATAGTCACCGACGATGAAGACTTCGGTCACCTGTTGTTAAGTCAATTCAAGAATGGATTTATCGATGTCTACGACAGACAAATGACAGTCAAAAGATCGCTAAATATATCGGATCTGAGTTTTTGCAAATGTTTTCTGTATACGAGTGCTGACTGTCAGTCAAAATACTTGGCATTTGTGCCCAAAAGTGATGACAAGTCCATCGAAATAATGAACTTCACAGACAAGCAAACAATGGTAACAATTGAACAGATTTCGGACAAAACGAAGAACGGTTATCCATTGGCCGTACATTTAACACAATTTGATACAAATAATAGTAAATGTGATAAAATTCTGGTGATAATAGGTTACGAAAGTGGATTACTTTTAGTTTTTAAAGTTGATCCCAATGTCTGTGATTATCAATTGGTGGCGCAATTGAAATGTTTTGAAACGATTATAACTGGTTTGGACTTCAATCGCGACCGAAACACTGGTATCTGTTGTTCAGTTGAAAATGTGATAAGCGTTTGGACGTTAACTACAAATGATGACAAAACAGCGGTTAGTTTATCGCTGAAGAAAGATCTAATCGTAACTAATAGTGGTCTAACCTGTTGTGTCATACGATCGGATGGACGAGTGTTTGCTTGCGCCGGCACTGATGGCTGTATACGACTGTTTGCTTTGAAAAGTCTTAAACCGTTAGCCGTCGCCGACATTCACAAGAAAACTGTTGAATGTCTCAACTTTTCGCACAAATTGTCGACAAAAAACATGAAAATACTGTTAGCCGTCGGATCTCAAGACAAAACTATCACTCTTTGGGATTTTTATAACAACTTATAGATAATTTTAGTAACAATTATTGATTTTTAAAACGAATAGACGAAAAAATTATTGATTCAATATCTATGGTATTGGATCCATGGTATGACACCTAACACTACAGAACTAAATGTGATCTAAAGGTAGTTCCTATGCAACTAAATATGATTGTTTGTATACTGATTATGGTATGTAACTAATGGCATAACAATGTTGATCCAGTAGTCAAATATTATTATCAGTTTATTAATTTTTGGTAATTTTTTGAACTCCTGTTTCCAGCACTTCTACATATAACCGATCAATTCTGATAGTATATCAGTGATAGACCAAAAAAAGTGGTTGAAATAATTGTAATTAAATTATTACTATAATGAAAATTACCAACAATTATGCCCTCATATGATCAGCGATGAGAAATTAATCTTTTGTATAGAATTAAATTAAAACATTTTTTTATATATAAATTTATGTATTAAATTGTTTTTAATTGTAATATATTTTTAATGAAATAAAATTAATTTATTGATATGAAAATATATTTTTAAAAATACACTATTAATAAGTTCTTATTATATTATAGTTACTATTTATAATTTCTAATACTCTATAGTAATCTAATTAATTAGTATATCTAATTTACTATTGAATTTATCTGATTAAATAATTTAAGTTATAAAACTTAAATAGGAATACAAAATTAAAAAAAATATTAAATACAATGTATAATACGTTTATTAATCATAAATTAGCTTTCAGTTATATTATACTTTAAAATATATTTAAGTGATTTTATTTAATAAATATAAATGAGGAAATGGTTTAACTAACATAACTTATAGTGCCATTTGAATGCCGTTCATACATTCAATGTACTTTTGTCTCAATTAATTTTATAAATAAATAAATAAATAAAATATATATTTATATATTATATATAATTTTATTTATTAGTATAGCCTCTGTTTTAAAATCTATTAATTACCTAATGTTAAAGGAATTTACAGATCATTAATAACAGTTGTTTTAATGTTTTGTAAAATTATTTTTGATGTAAAAACTTGTCGGAAAAACTCATTTTGTAATATTATAAATATTTTCCTCTTAAGTAAATTAATTTCCAAAATACACTTTCAAAATATAGACAAATGATATATTTAAATGTTTTGACATTAAAAAGAGACACACATTTTGTTTGTTATAAACTTTTTATTTTATTATAATTTTTTTTACTAAAAAAAGAGACACAGTTTGAAGGCTTTTTTATAAGCAGTGATAAGAATTGAAGAAAAATAAATTATAAACAAATACTACAATAATAGTAGTAATAATAATAACACTAATGATACTTATAATGTATTAACAAATACTGTATATTAGTTTTTTTTTGAATAAATTAATTGATAAAATAAGAGAAAAATTTTAAACATAATAATTGACAATAATTTAGTCAAAGACTTATTGACAAATGTCTTAATTTTTTTTGTTGATAAAAACATTGATTACAATAATAATTGTATAAATATTTAATAAAGAAAACAAAAATATGAAATTAAAATTAAATATCAATTGAGCCGTGAGTTAAATGTAAATATAAATAATAATTATAATTGACTGAATTTATAACAATTTAAATACATAAACGTTTTATAATATATTTATATATAATTTTACTATTATGAATATATTTTCAATGCCAATACTTTTTACAATAAATGCTCAAAAAATACTTGTAATTATAATAATTATCATTATCAACAAAAATTTATATTTATAATATATTAGACATTAATTCATTAATTGAGTTGTTAATATATAATTCATTTAGATTTTTAAATATATATTTTTCAAAAAATTTTGTATTTATAATCTCATTATTTAAAAATCGTACAATTTTTAAGAGCTAAAAGTAAAATGTTTTATAATTTTTTTCATATTATATTTATTTGAATTAAGTAATCACAAAAAGTATATTTTTACGATACTGTGTTTCTGGTATTTAATTTTATTGTTGTTTTTTGAATTGATTTTTTTTCAAAAACAATTTTTATCAATTTGTGTGACAATTACTTTTATTGTTTTTGGTAATTAGTTAAATATTTTTTTTGTTGAGTAAATGAATTTTTAAGTATATTATTACAAATCAATTTTAATTCACATTTAAATTGTTTTTATTATTTAATGAACAGTGAATACAATTTTAATAGTGTTTGTAGTACAAGCAAAATGTATATAATATATAATATAATATAATATCAGTTATGTTTGACGGCACTAAAAGATAATATTATTTTCATTTACATTTGGTTGTAATTGCAGTGTATATCATGTATATAAATATAAATATATTTTTTTTTTGGATATCAAATCACAATCAAATGATGAATAGTTACTATATTTAAGTTTATTATTATTATTGTTGATATTGTTGTTATAGTTGATGTTGTTGTTGTTTAACTCACGATTTTCAGAGTTAATATACACGAGAGTTAGTGTCCCGGTTATTATGATGGGATGATTATTATATAAATCAATCATTTATAGTAATACTTTTTTTAAAACAATTTTTTCATATTATATAAGTATAGTTTAGATAAGCATAAGAACACGTATTATTCATATATTATATTTAGTCTTAAATATAAACAATATTATTATTTTATTGTTTGCAATAAAAAAAAGCAATGCATTACTGATCTCATATATATATATATATATATATATATATAAATTTGTTGTAATAATTAGTAAATATGCATATTTTAATTACCTATTATGCATTTTTTATTTATAAATATATTTACAATTATTGTTTATTTTAATGCAGCTTAAATTTACTTGTAAACTATCAAAAAAATTTTGCAGTAATTTTGATGACATTTTAAGGTAAAAATACTTAATTTTCATTTTATACATTGAGTACTAAATTATTACTCAATTTAGATCTTTTTAATAGATTTTAGTTATTTAGTTATTCACTTCAAAAAATTGACATTAATTAAAAAAACATATTTTTAAAAAACAATTTTTTAATAAAAAAAATCAAATAAGACTACAATTTATTACTTTTTATAAGTTGACATCACAAACACTAGAAAATAATTTTCACTTAAATTGTTGTCTCATTAAATAAAATAATAATTACTCAACAATATTGAAATTGACAAATAAATTTGGTTTTAATTAAGCGCTAATAGCAGAATATTTATAATAATAATGTTTCAAAAAATAAATTACAATCAATTTTTATTATTGTTGTTGTAATACCACTTATCTTTATATAATCAAGAATATGATTTTTATTGTTGTTTTTTGTATTAATAATAGCATTGTTTTGTGACTAAAATTAGTGTAAAACAAAATTAAAAACAAAAATTAATTATAAAAATACTATACTTATTACTTGTATATAATTACATAATAAGTTATTGTTATACAATATATTTTTTGTAAGCTGTTAGTTATAGGCTTTAATTAGTGTATTATTTTGTTAAATATTAAACATAATATTAAGTCTAACAAAACAAAACAAAACAAAAAACATAATATTATTATCTTTTATCAATCGTGGTGTAAGATATATTAGCCCTAATAATCATTAATGATTTTCAACAATAATTATTTGTTTATTTATAATAGCAAATAAATTGATGAGTATCTAATGGATATTTTATATATAAGTGATGATGACATTAGTTATTAATGATAATACTGTGTATATTAATAAGTTGTTAAAATTTGTCAAATTTTTTTTTGTAATATATTATCATTATTTGGACCCAATTTGTGGAATTGATTTATTTTATATACAATTTGTATATACTTTTTATTATTTAGTATTTGGGATTTTTTACAATGAGATGTTTTGAATGTTAGTTTTAAAAAATTTTGTTTTAACTATAATAGTTATTAGATGACAATTTTTGTGTCATTTAAATTATTTTATCATTTATGATGTTATTGTTGTCAAAGAGATAGAAAAAAATAATGAAACAAATAGAGAGATAAAGTTAGAGATGACTGAAATAATTGGTGATTAAAATTTACTTATATTTTAAAACTATATTTATATAAATTTTATCTTTTTTTAAAAAAACATGGTTTTTTCAGAAAAATTATTAATTTTTCTTAAATAATTATTAATTTTTCTTAAATAATTATTAATTTTTCTTAAATAATTATTATTAAATTATGCATGTCACAATGGTTTGTATAATTTTTAAAATTTAATTAATTATTAATTATGTAAATTTTTAAAATTAATTAATTAATTAATTAATAATAAACTTTGCGATAATTATAAAAAGTGCCGTTAATGTGATGCTAGCGATGGAATGTTGGGATGAGTTGACAGTGAGATCTCTCTTCTTCATCAACACCTGATCGATGACATGAATCACACCATTGATGGCCTGGACGTCGGATCGTACGATACGGGCCCGTCGACCCTCCCATTCAATGTATAGATTACCTGACAAAACAAAAAAAAAACGATACAATGATTAATTGAATGGCTTTTTATTTAATGGTAATTATTTTTAGGTGCAAACATGTATATATGTATATATCGCACCCTACAATCTGTATAATGGGTCATTTAGTTAGTCAAGTAGTGATTCATATCTATATGAGCACACAGGACACAAATGTCCTGTTCACTTTAAAAAAGTACGGGTCAGGTATATCAGGCATATGTCAGATCAAAATACAACCACACTATTACTCCTGGCAATGACCTCATCTATATTACGGTTAATTATATTGAAACACTACTAACACTACTATCTAAATAATAATAATATAGCAGATATACTACTACTACATAATATTGTAGATAAGACAATGAAGTTAATTGTCTGAAGTGGTATCAGATTTTTTTCACTTTTTTTTAAGTGACTTTCATTCACTCAAATGTACGGTTGAGAAGATTTAAAAACTTACAGTACAATCATGAACTTGAAGTTAAACTGCAGTATAGGTGACTATCTTTTAATTGAACAGAGAAAGAGAGAGAGAGAGAGAGAGAGAGAGAGAGAGATTTTCTACATATTATTTGCTTTTAATATAAATTTTATTTTATAATGTGAGATACAATAATTAAATTTTTCAACCAATTTATTTATTTTATATTTTTAACTGATATATTAATATATTAAAACTTTTATATAACTCGTTTTTTGAAGATAGCTTTTTCATGAACGTAAATTAGTGTAGCAATTATATAAACTAGCTTATAGTTTGCTTATGAGATAATAAAAAAAAAGTTTTAAAACTTTTTAAATACAGATAATTTTACTTTTGAATGTCAAAAAATGTTAATATAAAGTATTTCTATACAGTATATTAAAGTTAAAATAAGTGATTCATTTTAAATTATATCTAAGATATTGAATTCAAATATATGTTGAAAATAATTCATTAGTTCTTTAAATTATATTTATTGTTAAAACGATTATATCTTAACTAAATTACACTGTTTTTTAATACAGAAGTGCTAAAGAAAAAATCTAAATAAAAATTTTGTTTTTATTCAATCGATATTTGAATACATATATGAAGTAAATACAGCGTAATGTCATAATCAAGGTTTTATATAAAGGATTGGCGGTTTTGGTTACAACAAAAAAAACAAAATCAATGCACTCTTTAAGATACAGTACAGTATATATAATATAATGTTTATATTGTTGTTGCTGTTTATATTATTTGTGGTGGTAGTGCCGGTTTAAAATTGATGGCTGTCCTCTTTAAGTAATAATATGAAAAAAAATTGTGAGAGAGAGAGACAGACAAGACATGGACTCTCAAAGTCACACAACAAGAAATTCAGGTTTGTTTGCAATAAAGAGATATTATTTTTATAAAAAAAATCTACAGATTTGTTATGTGAAATGATTTTGAGTCATATAATAATATTATATAAACCTGTATATATATATTAATATATAAGTTATTTCTCTCTCTCTCTCTCTCTCTCTCTCTCTCTCTCTCTATTTTTATCTTGATTTTTAGTTTTGCTTTCATAAATTCAAATTTTTTATTATTATGATTTCTGTTGTTAGTATTTGTATACAACTACATTGCCTTTAATTATAGTTAATGTTTTGCATTATAATTGAATATCATTTTGAAAATCATATATAATATGATAATACAGCTGTCTCTCTCTCTCTCTCTCTCTCTCTCTCTCTCTCTTCTGCTTTTTTAACCCTAAAAATTCATTGACTTTTTTTTGCAGGTAAACAAAACTTATTATTATTTAATATCAATTATGTATTCAAATCAAAATAATACTATTGTAGTGATGTTTTGTCTATTATAATAAAAATAATGGTTTGTTATACCGATCCTTATCTAACCATATGGTTGGTGTCTCTCTCGATCTCCAAAAATGCAATCAAATATAAAGCAAAACAACAAAAAGATTACTGATTTATGCAAATCATTGACATTTGTGTTGATAAATAACATCTTATTCAATATGATTTGTTTTATGTCTATTTGTGTTTTTTCTTTGAAGGTATAATTTTGTGGAAAATTTTATTCATTCATTGCTTTTATATAAATATTATAAAAATATATATATTTATTAAAAATCCTAAAAAACAAATTATAAGATTGCGTTCACTCTTGCAATTAGTCTTAAATTACAATCACTCCCAACAACTGGCAGTACATTACACACACCGGTATCTGCTCTTTAAGAAAACCTAATTTTTTTTAATACATGAGCTCAATGTTTGTATGCCGGCTATCATTACATGTAAATTCGTGTCTCAATTTTTTAAATAATTTAAATTTAGTTATAAATTCATAAATTCATAAACTCATATAAAAATATATATTTTATTCAATCTTTAATTTAAATACATAATTCATTTACAACTTGTATCTAATTTGCAAATTATCTAATAATATCGTATAAAAAGAGATAATACAATATATTATACTTTTTATATTTTAATATAAAAATCTCTTTTCACGAAAATAATTTAAGCCTTTCATACAAATAATAAAATCTTAATCTAACTAAAAAATAATTTTTTATATTTTTTAATCCATTGAACTTATACTATGATTATGTGTTTATTAATATAACTACTGTGCGATAACATGCAAATATATATTGTGTAGAAATATGATTAAATTTTCTAAAACATATAATATAAATGAATATAACAATAATAAATTATTATCGTAACAAATATCGGATCGCATTTATTATATTTAATAACTTATACAATATACCGGTATATATATATATATATATTAAGCCGATTAGTTGGCAATAAAAACTCCACATGTGTTCAATTGATTTATCATTTTATATTTATTTGCATTATATGCACCACAAGCGCGTATCGGTCATCATATCATCACTTAAATAATGATCCGAAAATTGGTACTTCATTTTGTGTTTACACTATACGAGTGCAATAGTGATGATAATAAAGTCATTTGAGACCTGACATCATAGCTAATGAAATTTATTTTCCCCAATAATGTCGGTAACATAACAACAGATTCTTTCAATTAGATCAATGAAAAGCAGTGATTGAAAACCGTTTTTCAGTCACAGAACCGGGAGTACCAACCCTTTGCTGATAGGGTTAAGAGTATTTCAATTATATGTTTGAATCAGTTGAGTAAATACATTCAAAAAGTGTTTTTTTATTTGTATTGTTTCTTTATATTGAGAGAGAGAGAGAGAGAGAGAGAGAGAGAGAGAGAGAGAGAGAGAGAGAGAGAGAGAGAGGTTTCGGTAGATAAAAACGTAAGGGGCTGTTGACATGACATATACGGTTAGAATTGAAGGTCAATAGCATTCGACAAAAGGCAATAATACAACTTTTTAAACAATTTTTGTATTATTTTTATATTTTGTAATGTTTTCAAGTAATAAATAAAATATAATAATAATAACGAAAACCACTTAACTGTGACTTAAACAGCATTTGTTTGGCAATTGTTGTGTACATAATATATTGAAATACAAGTATTATCTAACTTAATATCATATTAAGTCACATATGTTTTATGTGTGCTTTACTTATTACATAACATTTTTCAAAAAAAAAATTTAAATTGTATTTTTTCATTTCAATTATAATGTTTTGGGAATAAAACTTTTGAAAACATAATATTATCTCAACAACAAAAAAAAAATGACAGGATTTACTGTTTATGTGAAAGCACTGGTATATGAGCAATGATTATTGAGTTTAAATGATATAAAAATACATGACTATATATACATACCGAAGCCAACCTGACCTTTGGCCACTTTGAGTACTCCCTTAACGGTGTGTATTGTTTCAAATTGTGTTTCCAATTGTTGCGATGAGATCTGTTGGCCGACCACTAAATGTCTGTCTAATACCTGTAAAATATATATATTTTTTAGATAATGTGAATGATATGAGAAAAAAAATACTTTATTTACTGTCAAAAAAAAATAAATCAATTGTCTGACAAATGCAACATTTTTTTACAGATTTTTACCCACAAAAAAATATGAACCATTAAAATCTGTGGATTTAATTGACTTTGAAATTCACTAAACCTCTGACAAACAAAAACAACAAAATTTTTTAGATAAAGTATTTTTGGCGATCAATGTGTGTGTGTGTGTGTGTGTGTGTGTGTGTGTGTGTGTGTGTGAGTTAGTCAAATAAATTAGAAAAGCCCTAAAAACTTAGACCAATAAGTAAATACAATAATAATAATAATAATTCAATAAATTATCTAGATTATTTACTTATTTTAACATAGGTTATATATATCACCTCTACATGTATTTTTGTTTGTCATTCTCACAGAGAAAGAAAAAAAATATTTATCGATTCCCACTGTAAGAAAAATTTTGTATAAAATATATTACAGATATATTGCCACTTAAATATTGTTTTTTTGTTTTGTTTTGTTTTTATTAGTTTTAATTCTCAAAAATAAATAAATATTTTCAGATAAAGAGAAAGAAAGTATAATTTAATGAAATAGTCTGTTAATAATTACAGAGATTATAATTTATTCGTTTGTCACAAAAAATAAAACAAAATTCAAAAACCAAATCTAAAAACTAAACTAATTTTCTTTTAAATTAAATGAGTGGCAAAACCAATAAATATTAATAGTTCAGGAAATTCCCGTTAATAATAATAATAATAAAAACTGTTTTTTAATTAAACAGTTTATTATAGAAAATAAGAAAAATAATAGTCTTTTAAAAACATACATTTCTGGTGTTTGATGGAAATAATTTCATTTCTAACTGTTTATACTCCGATGGGTTCTCCCTTTTGAACTGATCCCAGGCATCATTGGATGGCACGAAATACGTGAATCGTCTGTCTTCTCTTAGCAGCTGTTCGTTCCAGTTTTGGTTTCCCTGTCGACCCAACTCGAATGAGAAGGACAGTTGGGGATCGCTCTTGAGTTTGTCGAAAATGTTTTGGAAAGGCATACCGAGTACCCGGTCGATGATGTGAATGATACCATTGGTTGCACCAATATCTGCCTGAACAGCCGTAGCGTTGACACCGCCGCCCTCAACCGTCATCCGGGTGTGAGCGTCATCGCCAGACACTCGGAAATGAAGATTCTTGTTGTTGTCGAGAGACACGACCTCTGGTTTGGTTCCTCTGCGAATGTCTTCAGTGGAGACCGACTGTCTCGGCACGACATGGAGTTGCAATATTTGTCTCAATTGGTCCGGATTGTCCATCAGATACTTTAGTTTGTCGTCCTCTTCGTTTTCATTCAGATTATTAAACGCCGCATCTGTCGGCGCTAACACTGTCTTCTGGTCGAGTCCGGCAATTTCCGACCGGATTTCGGGAACCATATCTAGCAATCGGTTGAATGTCTTCAATCGACCGTCTCTTTCTTGACTTAAGAAATCAATGATAGACGTGTCGATTATCATCAAAGGCTTTTCGATCAGATGAACGACACCATTCTTGACAGGTATGTTGGCTCTCAGGACGCGACTAATGACTACACCCTTATTGTGTTTGGGATCAGCTTTAATAGTGTTTGACTGGACATAGTATGTCTGTTCCGGATTAATCCTAAGGGTTCTGTTAATGAGAGACAGTTCCACATTTACAATTTGATCGCTGGCTGACGATCGGTACGACTCTTTGCCCATTACGTTGAGAAACAATACATGATTTGGTATGACGTGTCCCAATACGACATATTTGTCAAACAGATCCGGTCGGACATCTTGCATGGGCACAAAAAAAGTATGATTACCGGGTCTTTCAAAGATGGCCTCCTGGCTATTACTGGTGATCTTATTGTAATAGCTATCCCATCGCTCATCAATGCTATAGATAGAAGGCTGACTTATGAGTTCCAAAGCAAATGGTGGCAATGGTGTCGACGGTATGAATGGTTCGAGTGCCTCATCAATGATATACAGGAGCTGTTCATCTCCATTGATAGCCTTCAATGAGATCTCTTTAACGATCTTAGCGTTGTTGACAAAGAACTCTTTGCTGTCCTGATGGAAGTACTCGTGATGACCAACAGATGAACGCTCCTTAAAGCTTAGGTAGAGAGGGGCCGCCTCTTGTAGTGATGAACTGACACTATAGGGAAACGAGTCCTTCTTCACCACAACACCCACTGGTAATGATATGAAAGAGTCATATAAGTGATTAGATAAGCATTTTTGGTGTTATTTTTATAACACTGTTTTTAATGATCTAATGTGTTGTCAATAATTTGTTGTTTTTTATTTAAAGGTTATTCACTTTACGGTTTGTTAATTGAATTGATAATAAAAAAGATTCAAAAGAATATCAAATAAATCAAAATAAGTTTTTAAAATTATATAAATAAAAAAACAAATTTCCTGTAAAACGATTGGAAACGGTTTTCATAATAGTATTAATTAAATGTAAACTTAATTAGATAGTCATGTCATTTATAGTATAAGTGATGGTATAGTGATTGGTAGTCATAGATTTTCATTAGCTAAAAGTAACAATAAATTAAAATTATTTTTCAGAGAAACCGTGTATTTACCGACAAAAGCCGATTTTGAAAACAAAAGACTAAACACACAGTAATTAGCGCTATTAAAAAGTTTAGATATTTTTTTGTATGAATTTAAATTAAAGTATTGATTTTATTTTGTTATATAACTAACTATTGCTGTAGTGAACAAACACATCAAAAATTTTATGGTTAGGTTTGTACTTAAAATTCAGATGCATAAACAAAATTAATTATTTTAATTTACAAAAGACTATTATTTTTGTATATCAAAATAAAAATATTATACAATAAACCACTGTATATACTGTATATAAATATATATATATAAAATAAGATGAAAAATTCTAAGACATAAATATTTTTATTATAATTTTCAATAATAATAATATAATATATTTATTTTACGATAACATTCAACAATAGTACAGAATATATGAGAGATCATCGCATAAAATCCCGGAGCTCTGCAACAATGACTTTCTTTTTAGTTAACATATTGAAAGCCAAATGATAAACAGTACTATTATTGTGATGTCTGTATATATGTTAACGAAACAAAAAATCATTTTATTATTTTTCTCCCCTTTTCTCTCTTCTTTTCCCAAGAATTGATGACATTTGTGTTGGGATTTTCAATGAGAATCACCAGTGAGTGAGAGCACAGGGAGTTTATGCCACATAACACAGGCAAATATGCTCACAAATAAGGGAACGGCACTTAAATGGCATATATAACTTTAAGTTATTTTGAGGGACAATTTTATTGTGTAATATTGTGTGTATGTGTGTGTTTGGGTCCGGGAAGGAATGGGAGGACACTGTTATATAATGCATACTTAGCTGTTTTGTATGAAAAGTGAAAGAGACAGAGAACAGGGCACTGGTATGTACTAAACTAAGCAAATTTTATCTTTTAAATTCATGCCCTTTTGTAAAAATACTGTATTTTAATATATTATTTAGCAAATGAATCACAATTTTATGACTCTCTGACATTAATATATCTTTTGTTGGTTTGAATAGTAATGACAAACGCTTTTTATATACTAATTGCTTCTTAATTGGTGCTCTAAACTGTCTGTCCTCTCACTCACTATACATCATCATCCGCAGTCATCACTACCTACCAGTGCTCTCATCAAACTCTCTCTCTCTCTCTCTCTCTCTCTCTCTCTCTCTCTAACTCACTCACTCTCATCGTGACATCAGACAACTGTCACATTTAGTTAAATCGACTCAATATGTAATGCTTTGTCACAAATAATTCATTAATTATTTTATTTCGTTGAAGTCATTATCAGACATACAAAAAAACTTTTTTGTCAAAAACAAAAAACTCTGAACCGGAATATTAATGAGGATTTGCCTGAAAAACAAAGCACTGGTATTGAGTTTCTGTTTAAAAATTATTGATAAACTAAAAGACTGTGTGTTAGAGATGATAGACAAAAAAAATAGGTTGTCATTAATGCGCTCATCTTTTATATGTTATATATATCTAATGCATTGTCAATAATCATCAAACGAGGCATTAAATGGTCTAAAAACATAATGTTTGTATCAAATGTTTATACAAAAAACAACAACAAAACACATACAACTACTCTCCTATTGAGATGAGATTCTCTAAAGTAATACAGTATTATATATCGGGTATATATATATATACTGTAGATAACAGTACTTATGTATTGACTTTACTTTATATATACAGTATAAATGTTAAGTAATTCAATACAAAAATATTTTTACTATTATTATTAATGTTATTTAACTACATATCAGACCAGAGGACACACATACAGATGCAAACATTTTTTTTATGAAAGACCAATACAGACACACAAGTGCTCTCTCACTTGACTACACCAGTAATATCTGTTTCTCTGTTTTTCTGTTCATTTATCTGTCATTTAAAAATATGTTTTTTAAAACTTCAGTAGCATTTCAAGTATTGCAACTATAATATTGGGATATATATATACAGTCAGGGTTAAGTAAGGGGGGGTAGGGGGGGGTAAGGCCAAAATACCCCCCCCCCCTAAGATCGAGAAATTGGGATTTTACCCCCCCAGACTTTTTGACCAAATTGAAAAAATTGTCGCTTAAAAACGAGGAGAAATGACCCCCCCCCCCCCTAAAATTTCGGCGCCGAAGGCGCCGAAAATTTTTTTGAAATTTATAAAAATTTTAATTTTAGTTGATACTATTTTAGTAAGTGTTTTTATGTTTTTAATATTTATAAAAATCTAATTATTGATTAAAAATAGTTAAAATAACGTTAAAAGTCATCAAAAAATAACATTATTTTAATTAAAATAAACTAAAAAATTAAAAATTACCTATTTGTTGAAAAGAGTAATCATATTACAATTTAAATATAAGTTTAAGAAGTTAATAAAACAATAAATACTTGTTTTTATTAATAATTTTTAAATTTTAAATAAAAAATTTAAAAATATTTTCAATTTTGTACTTAATATAATTAAACTTTAACGAAATTTGAGTTAAATAAGTAGTATTCAGTCAGTATTTGTATAAAAATAAAAATATATAACAAACTATAAACATTAATTATTGTTTAAAAAATTAATTATGTTAAAAGTTAAAAATTATTAAAATACTAAAAATAACTCATAGTGTATCATTAATGCTTTTATCAACTATTTTTAAATCTTAAATACATTATTTTATTTTTTTTGTTAAAATTTAAGTTTTTATTAATTTAAAAAAAATTTTTTTAAAAATATTTATTTTTTGTTAAAATTTAAATTTTTGTTAATTTTTAAGTTTTTTTTAAGTTTTTTTATATTTTTTGGAAATTTTACCTATTTTCCCGGGAATTTATACGGGAACTTGTGGGAATTTTATTGAATTTACATGGGAATATTCGGGAACTTAAGGAATTTTTAGGGAATTTTCTCTAGACCCCCCCCCCCCCCCCTTGATTTTGGATTTTTGAAAAAATTGCCGTTTAAAAATGCAATAAAAATCTTACCCCACCCAATACCCCCCCCAAGATTTTTTGAGAATTTTGTAAATTTTACCCCGGTCTACCCCCCCTAAAATCCAAAACCTTGCTTAACCCTGATATACAGTATATGGGTTTAGTTATGACAAACTTAACTATTTTATGTATTATTTTTATTGTCAATGCTATGGGAATCATGTATTATAAGTAAACAGCTGCTGTCATTTGTATTGTTAATTGTCTCATAAAAAACTATTAACTATTTGGTTATTTTCATATAAATATTTATATATACAGTAAATTTGTGTGTTACATATAATTTGCAATTTACTGTAAATATCATTACAATTACTACTAAACACAACTTCAAATGCAATTATCAATAAATAAAAACATCCGCTATTTATCACACTCTCAGGGTTTTCGGATTTAATAGTTTTTGATGTAATTTCTGAAGTCAGGGCTAACCAAACAAACAAATTTTATATAATATAAACTTAACTCTCTCTCTCTCTCTCTCTCTCTCTCTCTCTCTCTCTCTCTCTCTCTCTCTCTCTCTCTCTCTCTCTCTCTCTAAATACTATTGATTGATAGAGAGCCTCACTAATCCTTAAATTGATTTTTATAATACTATATTATTTTTATATTTAATACAAAATATACAAAACATATCAATAAGTTTGATAACCGTTACACTCCATTAACATTTCAATGGACTTTTCAATCAAATTAGTTATCATCAAATTTATTAATATTATGAATAATATTTTAACTATTTTTTTATGAAAGAGATTATTTATTATATATTTATGTGTATAACTATTTATTATATCAGATAATAATTTAAATACTGTATACAATACTTGTAGTTGACTTCATAAATCAAAGTCAAGTCTGGAATTTGCTATTTTATAATATAAAAGACATGACAACAATAAAAAAAATCTATTTTATATGACTAATAAAACGGCAAAAATCAACAGGAATTGAAATCTATTTTTTTATTACATATTTTGTGTTATTTTTATTGTTATTTATACCGTAAGGGAACTACAGATTCCGGGAAAGACCCCGACGTTTTGTGTCATTTGTATCAATATATCTTTTACGCATTTTTGAGCATATATTAAGTGTAGTTAATATATTTCTATTGTTTTTATTTCATTGATTATCAATTTCAAGCCATTAAATTTTTATATATAAACAATAGTTCGGAAATTGTGGTTTTTAAAAAGCTACAAATATTTATATATTTATTTCATTGTACTTAAATATCAAGGAAATAATTGTTGAATTATATTGTGAACTATGGTGTATATTACATTTGTACTTTTTAAATAAATTAAATTATTATAAAACTATTGTTAGTTAAGTTATAACCATTATTAGCTATTGAAATGGTCAATTATATCTATAAATTACAATTCAATTGTCAAAACAAACATAGAAATGGTTTTTTATATATATTAATATATGACTTATTTGTCTAAATTTTTATGAAATTATATAATAAATATATGTATTATAGACTAGACATATATGTATTTGTGTAATAGCATCACATATTTAATCCATATGTATGGCGAGGAGATGTTTGTCAAATAATAATGTAATAATAATAAATTCAAAGAAAAAAATAAATAAAAATAAAAAATTATTGCTATAGGAAACTGTCACGAGATTTATGATATGATGTGTCAAATACAACATATAATATGCAAAACTACTACTACTACTACTACTACTACTACTACTATATATGTCTTAATTTATATATATATATAATTAAATATATGTATAACTATACCAATATGATAAGATGCCAATTTGTCCAGTACCTCCCGGCGCAAACTTTTAGTCTGTAGTTTTTCGATGGCACTGTTGGTCGGAGCAAACAGTGTCGCTGACTTGTGCTTCAAGAATAGCTGCATTACTGGATCCCTGTCTACCACTTCTTTGAACTAAACAAAAAAATATATGTATATATCGTTAATATAAAAGAAAAAATAAATTATCATTTTTTTTATTATTTATTTATTTATAGTATATGTAAGTTAATATATGATATATATGTATACATAAAAAAACATGAGACACGCTATTAATGCTAGATTAAACATATTATTAAAATATTATTAATATTATTGTACAGTACATGCAAGTTATTAAAATAAAATAGCTTTTAATTAAATGTTGCAAAGTTTAACAGATATTTTTTGTTGTTTTTTAAATTTAATAATAATTATAATTAATTTATTTTTATTTTATTTGCAAATATTAATATTATTTAAATTTCTTTAAAAAGTTGATTTTTATTTAACAACTTTTTTTACATTATTTTTTGAAAATGTTATAATTTATCAAATAAACTATCTATATATTAATATATTATTAAATACTAGTATTATATATGATATAAGCCTCGGACTCCTGATCTCCAGATTATCTCTGGGGATATGTTATTTAGTTAGCATTGCGTGCATTTTAAATGTAAATTATTTTTTGGATAATATGTTAACCAAAAAAAACAACACATTGAGAGATTATTATTATAAATACAGTATATAATATGTATGTATATATATTAACTAAGATATATATAATTGCGTGTATATGTGTTTGTGCTGTTATTTTTTTAGATGTTTTTGTTATTATTATGTTAGTGACACTAAAATAATAGTCGGATATGAGATAACCATCAGTTGACTGCCAGACAGTGATCACTGGCAATAGAGTGTAATGTAAACGGACACTAAAAATTAGGGAATACTTGAGCCAAGGGTGCGGAAACACAGACAACACACACATATTTAAACATACCGTTTGTTGGAGGGGGAGGCGTATTGCACTGGTATTATTGTAAAAGCAATAGGTTATGACAAAAACAAAAAAAAGTATATATATATTATATATGTAGTTTGGGTTTTTGGTATAGCATTTATAAGTGGATTCAGTAATGGCTTTTATAACGACATTTGTAGTGTATATTGTATTTATATTTAGTCGATTATAGTATATAGAAAAGCCATCAAAAAAAAGTTTTTATTAATGTCTGAGCGCAGTGTAGACACAAAAATTGTACTCAAATATGAGACACGAGAATATATTATTTGACGCCAATAATAACTACCCGTCCATTATTGTTGTCATGTATTATACTCGTAAAACAAAACAAAAATTACTGTACAATTTTGTTAATACTATATTAATATTATTTGTATTACAATTGAAACAATACATCCATATATAATGAGAATTTTATTGAAAGTAAATGTGTATTCAAAATAAATTTTTGAATATATTAATAATTAGTACAATATTTATAAAAAAAAATAAAACTTATTTATATATAATATTGCTACTAAAACAACAATTTTATTTTTTTAGTATAAGTAAATCAATATTTATTATTTGTTCACATAATTGCATCAATTTTTATTTTAGTTATTTGATCATTATAAATGCAGACAATTTATTTTGTTACCATTAAATTTTTGGTTTACAATTTCAATGTAAATATAGCGGAAAATAAATTTATATAATATTAATAACTACTTGTTTTCTCAGTCAATACAGTTGTTCACTTGATTTATACCTATTTTTCGAAATTTTTTTTCAGTTAATTTACAAAATTCATAGTCAAGTCATGCGAAATACAATTTTTATGGATTTTAATAGAGTGTACTATTGATATAATACTGGTGTGTAAACAACATAGAGCACAGTTGGGTCTGGGGAGTAGTAGGCCATGGCGTCAAGTAAATGGTGTTTTACTTTTAGTTTTTTTGGTGGGTAATGGTTGTCGATGGCTGTTCCCAAATGAAAACACAACATTTTACTGATAATAATATAAATAGTAGTGTTTTATTGCCGTTTTTCATGTGTCACTAATAGAGACCCACTGTCTATGATTCATGCAATTCATTTGATTCATATAATAAAAAAGGGGAATAAATTGAAATATCGATTGATTGCTAACTGAGAGCCTCAAGAGTGACACATATACTGATAATATTGATATATCTATGGGTTTGTATAGAAATATACAAATATCATATATCTATCGTAGTATTGAAATATTTATTCACTTGTTTATATTCACTCAACTCTATTGTAAATTATTTTGAATCAATATTTTGTTACTTTATTATTGTTATTATCAAATAAGTGAAAATAGTATCAAATAATGAGTTTATTATCAAAAATTTATTTATTTATATAAATATATAGAAAAATATATTTTGCGTGAATTGAAATTAGTTTCTCTTATAAATGATAATATATATATATAACGTAAAAAATAGCAGTTATTAGATTAAAAAATTTAATAGTTAATGTTTTCACAGAAAAATGATATTTTTCTTTCAATATACTTATTTCATAAAATTTTTGTCTATTATTTAGCCAAATGTTTTCACCCAAAAAGCTGAGGGCAAGTGACGGAACAGTTGACTATTTTTTGTCGTTGTGTTAATATCTACAGTATTATATAATACAGTATTAGAGTGTATATACCTTTTTTAGATATCAAATAAATTGTCTGATTATTTGTTTGTATGTGAACTGAATGCCAACAAATAATAAAAAAAGAGACGAAAGAAAGTCATATATGAAATGCATAACTGAGTCGAGTGTCTGATATTACAAGACATGTCGTAAGGGAACCGGCATTGAGAGCACCGGCATATACACGCTATTATGATTTTTTAACAACAATCATGTTTTGGTATTTTTATTTTCCGACACAAACTTAATTTTTGTTTCAGTTAGAAAAATACAATTATATTTGGATAAAGAAAAATATTTTCTTAAAAGTTTATTGATCTCTTGTTAAATGACAATTAGATATTAATAATATTACTAATTATTTGTACAAAAATGCTTTTAAAAAATGCTATTAAAAATAAATTAGAAGAATCTATAGTTTAAATAAGCAATTAAAGTATTTGAAAAATAGTTTTTTTAAACAAAATAACAAAAAAATATCTTAAATAAAATTCTTAAATATAAATAAAAAAAATAATTTTTTTCTTTAAAACATATTTTACATATACAAAAATTTTATTATAATAAAGATGTTAAATTTACATATATATGATTTTAATTTATAATTATAATGATTTATTTATAATAATTATTATATATATATAATTGTGTGAATATAATCGTTAATTTATTAAATAAATTATTTGTATTAAATAATTTTAATTTAATTATATTAAGCATTTTATAATACTGTACATATTATTTGAATGAGAAAGATTGATATTTATGATATATTTAAATATAATATTGTAATTATGAGTTATATATATAAAATGTTATTTAATATTTCATTAGTTGTTCATTACTCCTCTTATTGGATAATTTAGTGAAACATCCAATTTATATCAAATGCATTAAATTATACCAAAATTATGTTTATGTATGGATTCAATATAAAAATAAATGACAGATAATTACAGAGTAATATTATTATCAATATTGAACAGTACTGTACTGTACTGTACTACTAACCATAATATAAATACCATGTTTTCAAACAAATTTAATAAAAATATTGATTTTTCATTTATATAGAAATTTATATATAAATATAATAACCTTTAAAAAAGTGCTTAAAAGTGCTTATAAAATATATTTTAGTTAATATGAAATTTTGAAGAAAATGTTAGGTTTAAAATGGTTTACAATAAGAGGTATTTTTGAAAGAAAATCTATGTGTGGTTTAGGCAAACATAGAAATAAATGGACAATAAGTGAAATACAAAGTTTGGTTGACATTAAAAGCGTTTCACTGGAAAAACATTTGATAGGAGAGACCAAATGGATATACCCTGTAATCCTATGGACTCTCTCTCTCTCTCTCTCTCTCTCTCTCTCTCTCTCTCTCTCTTTACTCATTTGTGTAAATCACTAGTATATTTGAGATGAGATATAATATATATATTTTGTAACCATTAAGTAAATATATATAACATCCAAATCAGTACCAATTGGTAGCTGTCATATCATTAATGAGATGAGATGTTAGGCAAAGAGGGTATATATTACTGATTTGGAGGTCATTTCAATTAAAATTTATTATTTGACACAATATTGTAAATATGAGATGCAAAGGGAGAACATACTAAATAGGATAGAGCTATGAATATACATATACTGTGCTGTACTGTATATACATGAGAGTAAAGCACGTGAATATATGGTGAAGCAAATTGACACTCGACTCAAACGTCGATTTTTGACTTTCCAGTTGACCCTCCGATGCCCTCCATTTCCCCCAACTGTGCCACTATTTACGTGTGTCGTGATTGCTAATAATGAGAGAAATGCCCAAAAAAAGGTGGACATACGGGTGGAGGACTTCAATTATATATATATTCTGTGTATTAGATTCTTAAACGACTGGATTTCAATCGTAAAGTATAGGGAGTCACCCAACATAACAACCCCACAACACCACAGATACCGACTTTTTGTTGTGGACTTTCATATATACACACCGTTCCCTTTTCCCACTGTTGCTCTCCATTTATATATTGAAAAGTCAGAGTATAAAAGTTTTCAGGGAAATTGAAAGAGAGATTTAGTCGACCTTTTCATTGGGTATTTTTTAATATCCATTTTTATAGCGCCCGGTGCTCTTGTCATTAACAATCTCTCTCTCTCTCACTTAATATTACTAAACATAAATGTATACTAACAGGACATACATGTTAAGAGAAAATATACACTTTTCATGCATTTTTAACAATAAAATAATTTTAACAATAGTTTATTCAATATATATAATAGAATAATATTTCAATAAGAGCTCCAAATTATATTATATTTGATGCCAAATGAACGATAAAATATTGGGGCAATACTTGTCAATAATACTAATGAAATTTTAATAGAAATAATTAAAATACAAAAAAACAATTTATTAGTTTTAGATAATTTTGTGCCACTTATTGTTAATATTGTATTTATTACTATATATATTCAATGAAATATTTAAAAATAAATTATTTAATAAAATATTTAATTATATATATCAATATTAATAATAATAGCTATTCAATTATTGTCAACAACAAAAAATTTACAAATGCTTGAAATATTTTGGTTGAAATACAATAAGATTGATATTCAATAAAGTTATATAATATAAAAATAATGATTTAAAAAAAATGTTTGCCAATTATTTTATCAATAAATGAAATTTTATTATTTATCAAAAAATATAATTTTGTGCTAATATTCTTGTGGTAGACTATCCTCATTTAGCACATTAGTATAGAATTTAGATATATATATAAATATTAACATTAAGGGATAGGCATATCATATATAGTATATATAAAGTCAGTAGGTTTTGCTCATCAAAATTAACTTCAAATTAACAATCATTTGTCATAATTTTAGAGCTGAGAGGCATTAATTGATGACATAATTATTGATATATACTGAGAAAATATCTTAAGGCATGGCATGAGTTTTCATTGAAATAGTTTGTTTAGATGTATTTGTGCGATATTTATACGGTTTATATAAAAGCATTGCATATATAAAATGATATCACGAATCGGATATACGATTTGCTGATGACTAATGCAATCTAACATTTAATATTGTGGTCTAACGAGTCCTTCAAATGACTCAAATATCAGAGGATTTTTTTCATCAGAAAAAAAGAGCTGTGAATAACACATACATATAATAACAATGTTTTGATGAAAACAAAATTTTTTATATAAACCCTTCTTATTAAATAAATGTTAAATTATAATAATTATTTTTTTTCGAAGAAATTAAAAATTTTGAATGAATGGCATTGAATGTGGCAATTGAAATACAACTGTGCCGCCACTACAACAGATACGGCAGCTTCTGGTATGAGCCCCACCCCACCAGTGCGCTAAATATATGCCGGTGCTAAGGTCGCAATGCGTGTGTTTGGCGCTGTTGTCTCTTATATTTTCATAGATAGAGAGGAAGAGAGAGAGAGAGAGAGAGAGAGAGAGAGAGAGAGAGAGAGAGAGAGAGAGAGAGAGAGAGAGAGGTTTGGGTTTTGTGATGACTTTGACTGCAAGTTATATGAAAGTGAATCACTTGAGTGAACGCAAACGCAATCCACAAAATGTCGGCACAAATATTAAGACTATGTGTTCACCCGATATATATGTATACGATATATGACTATTAACTAGAGGTTTGTGTCTGTAATATATATATATATATATATATAATATAGTAAAGTATTGGTACGGTATGTGTCTCACGTGTAGATTCATTAGTAATACTACGGCAGAGGGATTGGCTTATATATATGTGAGGGACACAAACACTGAATAATTGTAGCAAAAAAATGTTTCTCTCAATCCATCAGCAGGTGTGACCATTATATATATATATATATATATATATAATAGTTGATAATGTATTAAATTGTGTTACAATTTGGCACTAAATTATTATTATATACAGTACACTAACACATTATGAGATGAGATAACCGCCAAAAATAGGAGGCAAACCTGTGTAGGCAAACTACTACTACTACTACTACTACTACTACTATTACTACAGTACATCAAATATATTATACACAAAATAGTGTAGTTTAAGTGAAAATTATATGCTATTAGAAATTATAATATACTGAAAATTATTTTTATATAATATAATAATAATAAATTTAGATATAATGGGGATATGGATATCATTTATACTGTCATATTATTGATCTGTTAATTAACAGATCAATATGTTATTTGCTATAATAATAATAACATAAAAATTGTTAATTATTTTGTTAAAGAATATTCATTATATACTGTAAATCATATAACAAATCCATTTGATTCTGCAATTTCTCACTTCATTTAAAATTTAATTAATATATAAATTAAAATATAATTCATTAAACAATGAATTGATAGGGAGTGGGTGATAGTGAGTGTATAAATAAATGAATAAATAAAAAAAATATGTACAGACAAAAAAAACAATTTAAATTTAAATTATCTAACATTGCTTTAAATGTAAGCCTAATAGTCTATTAGCTATTTTGTACTGAATTACGATATTATTTAATGTTTATATTTTTAAAAAATCATATAACACATCATTTTATTATAAAACACCAACACACAATAACATTAATAATATCATTTTTGTTAGTTATATTAATAATATAGATATATAATAACATTTATATAATAATAAAATTACAGCAACAAAAGTATTTTAATTATTATATCAAAAAAAAAATTGTGGTGTAATAAAAATATACATATTGTTTGAAAAAAATAACAAAATTTCAATGCTTTCCATTAATATATTACTGTATGTATTAAAGTTTAAAATAAAAGCTCAAATTATGAGTACATAAAAAATTAATGTTTAAAAATAAATCTAATGTTTAGATAATATATTTGTTAATATACTTTTAGAGCTAAATATATGTAAATTTATGTCATTTTTAAAAGAAAAAACAACAACAAATATCTCATTTCAATGCATATATATATATATATATCTATTTTTGAAAGATAAATACATATAATTATTAGTAAATGTGGTATAAAAACTTGTAAATATTATATATCATATAAATACAGTATATTTAAATAAATTATATATATATTTAGATATACATTAAACAAGAAAAATGTGGACATACTTTTGTGAGGTCGGCTTCAATGGATAACTGTTCGTAAATATTGGTCGCACTGATTGAAGTCCAACAATAGGTAAATAGTATAGCAAATTTAGCAAGATACATTTTTGTTGACAACGACTTGCACATTTTTTTATCGGTGATGATTTAATTAATACACTGATTAGAAAATTTTCAATATTTTTAGATAAATATCACCAAGATAATTTGATGCTGCAATAATTTTTCCAATGTAATCAATTCAATTAACAATGAAATGTAGTTATTTATATCAAATAGATATATATATTTAAATTTTATATATATATATATATTCTCAATATGTGATAATATATAAGCAATAGGAAAATACACACACAATGCACACTCCCAGGGCTGTGGTGTTTTAGTTGGAGTTATAAGTTAGACAACACACATATACATACACACACTGACTAAGGGTATGGAACACTGATTCAGAGCCTCACTCTCTGTGTGTATATGTTTTTGAATGGCTGTGCTCTCTCTCTCTCTCTCTCTCTCTCTATGTGTATATAGTTTGGTGTATATGGTGTGAGAAAATATACGTTAGTTTATATCAAAACGCCTGCCAACGACTCGCTCGCAACGATTCCCTTTCACTACAATGGCATCGATGGTGAGGACAGACATACACACACATACATACATACAAACACAGACGAGTTTCGAGAGCTCTGCAGTATTTTATCAAAAGCTACCAATGCTTTGGAGAGAACAAATACTTCGAGAGAGAGAGAGAGAGAGAGAGAGAGAGAGAGAGAGAGAGAGAGAGAGAGAGAGAGAATAACCAGTTTTTATTTGAAGCTACCAGTGCTAAGCTTAATAATGCTACTATACCTGGACAGCGATCTTGCGGCTATCAAACAAAGCAATGTATCGGTGTTTTTTGGAGACAAACTTTTGGATTACATAATAGTTTTGTTTATCAGATGATTACAAGTGTTGCAATAATTGTGTCATTTGTGAAACTATTTATTCTCTCTCTCTCTCTCTTTTGGCATATAATTTGATGCCAAATAATAACAATAAGTGATGCACTAAAAATAAAGTGAGTTTTATTTATAATTATTAATTAAAAACAAAATAGCAATTTCAAGTAAAACAGTAGATTTCAAATACACACATATATACGTATATTCTGTTTGTATGATATATACTGTTTATATATGTAACATAACTAAAAACAATTTATTTTATCATATTATCATATATATACATACAGTATATATGTTATCTATGTTATGTTATATATATCTGTATGTTATAAATAAACTTATACATGTCAAATGATTGAAAAAGAGCACCGGCTGTTAGTTATATACAGAGGGTATGGGAGGGTAAGTATGGTATATGAGTGAAGATGAATGGATGTCATTATCTCATCTTTTTATTTTTTCTCACTTTTCTCGTACTAAACAACACTACAGTTTTGTACACCACTTATAATAGTTTGATGTCTTAAGCATTAATTTATTTCTGGATTCACTCCAAAACCAATTTTTTGACTCTTAATTTCTTTTTATTAATTTCCTTATTTTTCTCTTTTCATAAATGTTATAACTTTTGCCATTATAGTATATATATCATAATTGCAAACAAAAATGTGTGTCCAATCTCTCTCTTTCTCTTTCTCTCTCTCTCGCCGTTCAATTTCAAAAACAAATTAATTATCAGTAAATATATATTCTGTATATATAGTAAGTTATGTGTTTAAAAAACACATTTTTGCCAAATGCCATCAATTGACAACACATAAAGTATTAGCAAAAAAGGCGGCTATCAATCAAATTAACAACAATTACTGTTAGATTATTATATGCTTGTAATGACATTTCAAATATTGTAGTTTAATAGTTGATAAAAAATTATGTTTACTGCAGAGACCAGATATTTTTATGTAAATTATTTTTTAAATTTTAAATTTCAATGCAATAAAATTAATGTCTAAATCTTAAAAAGTAATTTATAGATATAAATAAAAAATATAATATTAAAACTTGTGATAATAATAGTAACATTTTATTACTGGAATGTAAGTGAGTTTTATAATAAAAATAACTATAAAATAATTACTAAACTTAAGGACAAATTGCAAATTTTATATAAATATTTTATTAGTCATTAAATTTTATTTCAACAGAAATTTTATACTCAAAATAAACATTTATTATATTATTTTATTAAACTGTATTTTCTGCATCAGTGTTGTAATAGTCTAAAAATTTTAGACTAAAATAAACTTTAAAACTTTTATTATTTCATATATTTCAACATTAAAAAACAAAAAATAAAGTAATTATAATTTATTATAATTGTTATTAATTAAGTGATATCTTAGAAGACAAAAAAAGTAAATTTTAAAAATTTAATTTCTTGTGTGATATTATATATACTTTTTTATACTCCAAATATATCTACAAAATAATTTTAAACTAACATTTAATCTCAACATCTTATATACAATATATTATAAATATAATTGTTTTCAAATATATTAATAGTTATAAATAAATTTAAATAATTGACTCCCGTTTTAAGATCGTTTTGAGATTAACTAAATTAGATATAATTAGAAAATATTGCAAATATTTCTCACAATTGGAAATATGTTTTCAATCTTTATCTCAATGGTTCAACCATTTCATCCAAGATATTTGGCTCCGGGAGGAAAAATATTTTGGCTCACTTTTTGTTGATTTAGGCATAACTGTTATGAAAAGTCATGTAAAATATCTGTCAAAAGTTTGTCTGATAAATAACTAAGAAAACAACAAAAGAAATGTATATTTTTATTTTTTCAAAAAAAACAGATTAATGTTTACATATACAGTAAATCATATATTAAACACTCATTTTTAGTTATTTATAAATAATTTGCTACAATAGTAATAAATTTTTATGAATTGTAATAATAATAGGTATGCAAAACAATGAAAACAATAATTTAATTTAAAAAAATAATGTTTATGTAATATTTATATAATAAAATTAACTAAAATATGTGATTCAAATAATATTGAAATAAAAATAAGAAATTAAATAAATTAATTAAAGGAAAATTATGAGAAAAATTACAAGAATTTGTATTTTTATTAATATAACAAATAAACTTTTATTAACATAAATTAATTAAATAATTGATTTGAATTGAATAATAATTACTTAAAAATGTGATTATAATTAATGTAAAGCAAAATACATTTAAATTTTGATTGAAGTGATGTAAGAGAAAAGTTTTATCGCATGTAATATGTGTTTATGTTTTTAAGTAAAGTCATGTCATGTGTCGTTGTTTTTCTATTAGGAGGGCTGTTAGCTATTAGCTATGGATTTTGTCGGTTACGGTTGAATCTCACTTCGATTGATAAGCGGTGGCGGCGGCAGACTTTGGATTGTTGGCCGCAGATGAAGACACAGATGAGACCGATGATGACACCGACGACGATGAGACTGATGTGTTGACACTGGTCTGTGGTTTGCTGTATGTGCTAACCGATGAGCGCTGATATGATGTGTTGGAAGGATAGACATTGGAGGCCGACGCCTGATAAGCAGTGTTTGATGAACCGGAACCGCTGTTCGAGTAGGACGGATAAGCCGATGAGTACTGTGAGCCAGAGTTAGAGCCAGAGCCAGAACCGGAACCGCTCTGCCAAATGGCGCTCGACTGTGACGGTGAGCCACTGTTGCCGGAGTACAAGTTAGACGGCGATCCAGAGTATGACGACTGTCCGCTCGATTGTCCGAACGGTTTGTAGTTATTCCACGAGTCTGCTGGTGCTGATGCCGCTGCTGCTGCCGCCGCATAATTGGGTAACACTACGGGTCGGTACGACGAGGCTGAACCATACATATTGCCACTGCCTCCCAGGGCTGAGGTTAGAGCACTGTTAGGGAATGAACTGCTGAAGCCAAAAGGTGGCGGACGGAAGGCATACGAATAACTTGAACCGGAACCCATATATGGCGATGAAGTCTCACGTCTGAAAAAATAATAATTTAATATTTTAAAAGAGTTAGTTTCCGATTATTTATTGTACACAACTAATCATACGGTTATTTATGACTTTCAAAAAAATCACTTTCAATAAGCAATACATTACAAAATCAATTACCTATAAAACAAGGCATTCATCAAATTCCTGAGTCGACTGGATAGGGATGACCGCCGACCTCCGATTACATTAGGCTTCAACAATGCTAACAACGACTGTCCGCTTGGAAGCCACGATGGCGAGAATGAGGCCCACGAGTTGGACACTGGAGGTGGTACTGGAGCTGCCACTGCCTGTGCTGGTTGTAACCAACCATACGGAACGGCAGCTCCTATTTGTCGTGGTTCAGGTTTCTCTGGTATTTTATCATCGATTTCACTGATATTTGGGTTTTGCTGATCACTGGCCAGTGTCAGCACCAATGAGGCCAACAATAAGAAACACACCTATCGATAATTTTGTTTTGTTATGCATTACAAACTTTATATATAGTTTATTATATGTTTTATGTTATTTAATGTTTTTATTATTTGTGTTTAAGTCTGAAATCTAGTTTCAAGATTGATAAATAATGACAATAATCAAAAACAACAAAAATTTTGTCTGCAATAACTTCACGCAAGAAATTTCCAGTGCCTTAATGTCTGTACTGATAGTAATAATAATAATAATAATAACACCATTGAGTGAAAGAAATGACAGGAAAAATAAAAAATATTATATGAATTAAGTTTAAGAGGAGAGAGAAAAGCAAAAAATGTGGTCATTATTTAGGATTCAAATCACATGTCATAAAAACTTATTATATATGGAAACCAATCTTGACTTTGAGATCAAGTAGTCTCTGGAAATGAGGTCAATGTTATGTGTTAGGGAACAACAGCTTTTTAATGTTTTTTTAGCGCCGGTTCCGTTTCGGTCGCATGTCTTTTCAATAGCAAGAAAAGGACATTATAACAGATGAGAGAGAGAGAGAGAGAGAGAGATTTGAAAATAATTTTTTACTGGTTTAGTACGCCTTTTGCAACAAAAAATACCAGTATTTTTGTGTGGCATTAGTTAAGAGAGAGACAACATGTTGTGTGTGTGTGTGTGTGTGTGAAGTCAATGAATAGTCTATAAATGGGAACTAACTGTTACACCAAAACTAATTGCTCTACAGTTTAAGGTTAAGGTCGACACTAATGCACTGTATGTATGTATGTATGGCTGACTTTAATTTAATACAGTATTATTTAACACATTTTTTATATGGACTTAATTTTTATGTGAAAAATTGTTTTGTCATTTTAACATGAATTATCAATTAGTTTTCAAAAAAATTAATGAATCATTTAAAGCACTATTTATGGTTAAATAATTATTGTTATGGTTAGTCTTAATTTGTCATTTTTGATTAAAAAAAATTACTAATTTTTTTATAAATATTTTACTAATCATATCAAACTTATTACAAGGTCTATAAATAATAATCTATATTAAATAATATTTAATATTTCTACATATTTTATATGTATAAATATAAAAAGATATATTTAATACTTACATATTTTAGGTGATGAAAATCCATTATAATGAAGTATTCAATTGAGTTAATAATGATTAAAAAATAAATAATTTATAAAATACACAAAAATTTTCGATACGAAATACAAATAATTTAATAAAAAAATAATGTTTTGTACTATAATTTAAACATTAAATTAGTTATACAAAACAACTCTTCGTTGAAATAATAATAAATAGATTTATTTTATTATTATTAAAGTGAAGACAAACTTTTATACGATTACATTGAAGTTTTAATATATGAATATTACTATTATCGCTGTACTGTTTAGTCAGATATATATATAAAATAAAACAATTTTGAAAACTTATTGTATTATTATTATGTAATGTAATGGTTGTAAATATAGCACAAAAAACTTATAGCAATTTTTAGTGCTCTCCTCTCCTCTCTATCTCTCTCTCTGTTTCGTCTCTTTCACCAACAAATGATAACTAACTGTTTATTTGTAAAAAATTGTTGTAAAAGACCCACCAGTTATATAAAAGTTCAAAAATAAGTTTACCTTCCGCAATACATGTCCTGTAATATATATAAACTAGGCTGCTTTACCAGCCCCCATTAAGTATTGCCGACCCCCGATTTTGTGGGAGGGCTCAGTCACTAGTTATTTAACTTACTATATATAAATACACGTGTATACCAAATACAGGTATAACGGTATATCTTATATATACGTATATATATATATATAAAGAGCACATTTATATATACAGGGGTCACGACGTCAGGTTGCATAACATACCGGAGCTGCAAATATACACAATATATATGTATATATATATATATATACCTATATATATAATACAGATACATATATACTATTTATATATATACAGTATATATATATATATATATAAGTGAGATATTCACACAAATCAAGTGTAACTTGTTATTATAGTTTAGAGTTATTAGAAATATTTAAAAAGTTTATGTTAAGTGTTTGTGCAAAACAAAACTATTTGTACCATTTATTTAGGCTTCAAATGCTTAATAGTAAAACAAAACAAAAATTTTCAAACTATCGCACAATAATTGTAATCATAGTATTATTATTTTTCTGTCTCAGTTTCTCATTAAAAAAATACTGTATGCTAAATAAATTCATTTGTATACATTATGAATATTGTTTTTTTATTAATATTAATCAATATTACTGTATTATTTATATACTGTATGTTAATAATAATAATAATAATTTAAATACAGTGAAAGACATGCAAATACTGTACAGACAGTTATCTAATAATGTCTTTAAAATGTAATACACTTGAGGGGCAATATAATAGGTGCCACAACTGCTTAACAATCATTTTTAATGACTGGTGTTTTCATTTATATATACATTTATATATTCATTTATACTTGAATATAATTTTAACATTATTATTATTATCCTTGACATTGACATTAATTTTTGTGAATATATGTGAGAGGTATTAAGTATTGCATACTATGTTTTTTAAAAGGCTTAAATTTTTATGAGATTTCTGATTTTAATCCCCATAATTATATCAATCCTAATGTAACATAGTTTCCTTACAATTGATTATAAATAATTTTTTTTGAAAAAATAATTAGCATTTAATTTACATTATATTTTTCTCGTTAAATAATTATATGATTGCACTTCAAAATTCTTGTCATGTATTTATCTATCTGTATAGGTTTTGTTTCATTTTACAAATTTGGTTAAATATTATAAAAATAATATTTTTTAAAATGAGAAATTTAAAAAAAATTAACAAATATAACAATAGTTTTTTTTCTAAACATATAAATTACTTAAATGTTTTGGTAGTTTGAGAACTAAATGCAATTTTTTCAAAAAGTTTTTATTTCGAGAAAATACTTTATTGATTAATAGTTATAAATATCTTGATTTATGTTTTGAGAGTAAACCTCAGCAAATAATCCTAATCCATGAGCTGTGAATAATACATAAATTTTTTGGGATATAATATAATAATAATTTAACAATTTGTTATATTACCAGTAATAGGTAATAGGAATATTTGGTGAGATCATTGAGAAAATCGATTAAATGGGGAGAAAAAAACTATTTATTTATGAGATTAAGTTTATATGACTTATGAAAAATCAGTGGAAATGCTTTCGGCTATTATTTAACGATAAGAGAGAAGTAGTATTTAGTAGTAGTAGTAGTAGTAGTGATATTAGTATTGGCAGTAATATTGGTAATAATTTGAATTGTAATGGTGTGCACATCCATCCATTGAATGCATTTCCTATTGCATTAAATTAATATAACATTTGTATTAATGGCTCTCAAATTTGCTGGTATATGTCAAACCTAAGACATGCCCGCGTGATGTGTGTCCTTAAACCTAAAACATTAATATGTAAGCTCCCGGTGAAAAACAACACAAAAAATAACAAGCAAACAGTAAAAGGGTAGCATTAATATAAAATTAATATAATAATATTTATTGCAATTAATAATACAGATAAAAATTATAATAAAATAATCAACTAAAAATATTTTTATATTATTTAATATACAGTGTACTACTGTATAGATATATATAATTTATATATCTTTCAATTATTCTTATTATATATTTAATATAATTTATATATTTTAATTAAACTAAAAATAAATTATTTATGTTTTTGAATAATTGTTTTCAAATAAGTTGCATTATTTCTATGTATATAACTTATATTAACTTATATATAAATTATAGAATATAAGTTTAATTAATAGCAAATCATTTTTAAAACAAACTTTAAAATTTTTGAACTTAAAATATTACATAAAAATACTTTTTGATCAATCATTTTATGCGTTTAATCTCAAATAATGTATTAAATCATTTATTTTTTAAAAACTCATTTCATTTGCAATTGCTTTCCAATCAGGACTTTCCAATCAATTAAAAATCGTGTGTTAAAATATAAACTTAATTTTTTTGGTTGATTGATAAAATCAAATCTAAAAAAATCTATTTTAAAAAATTGCACTGTTTGCCAATCAAGTCATGCAATTTATAAGTTATCCCAACTTATTTATAGCAATTATTACTAAAGGTTTATATATAGTATTTAAAATTTTTATTTTAAAAACTAATTAAATTAAACATTATTTGAAGCACATCATTGTCGACTAGTTATTAAAAGTGTAAATAAATTTTTCAATCAATTTAATTTTTAGATACTCTAACTGTATTTATATAATATATTGAACCATTAATTAATGTATTAAAAAAAGTAATTGAATTGATTGAACACAAATAATAACAACATGTGAAATAGGTATACAAAAACATTTTCTATTATATTAATGAACTGCTATTGAAGTGAAAACAATTGGTGTTTGTTTTTTTTGTTGCGAAAATTGTTACTAAAATAGATTATAATATAATATTAATATTATTTTCAAGACTTCTGTATAACATTGTATTAATGTTTAAGTAAAGCTGTTTTCAAAGATTTGGTTCAAACAAGTCATTCATTATTATAGTCATTGAATCACTTTTTCATTGGAAAACAATGTTTGAATGGATCACACAGTGACCCCCAAACCGGGTATACTAAACATATAGCGTATATCTGTGTAAACAAGACATCCCTGACTTATGTATTGAAAATCTCCTCTCATTTTGATAATCCCTGTCCGGAATGACTGGTATTCCTGTCTTTTTCTCACTGAAGTTTTTTTTCGGGAGATCTCAGTGCCAACAAAACCTACATAAAGATTGAAATGATGGCTATTTCTTATATGAGGCGCACTAGTAGTATAAAACCAGTGGTACTGACTCGAACACAGGACTATACAACATAACAGTTCCGGTATGTGGATGGCAGAGGAGAGGTAGCACTGATACAAAAGGGAGAGGTAGGAACTGGAGGAGAGGCACTTCTCTACCCATACAAACATACGACAAAAACAGTTTAGTTTATGTACACCAAAATAAATTAGTAGCAATCAATTGAATCAATGAGAGAGAGAGAGAGAGAGAGAGAGAGAGAGAGAGAGAGAGAGAGAGAGAGAGAGAGAGAGAGAGAGAGAGGCTTATATTACGAGTATCAGATGTACTTAGTTGTCTACTCAAGAGTATAAAAGTCAATAAAATACAGGTTTAGTTTACAAAATTAAAAAATATATATATTTATAAAATAAAATATAAAACTTTTTCAAATCAAATTTATATTACTTATCAATATCTACTTAACATTTACTTGAATTTTATAACAATCTTTTTTCGAAATATACAACAGTTTACAATATTTATTACAATTTTATTTTATAGCAACAGTTCTTTAATAATAGTGTAGTAGTATTATTAAAAATAATTAAATATTATTAATGGTTAATATCGTAATTATATACAATATATACAATATCTACACCCTTATAGTTGTTAATTAGTAACATCCCTTCATATACCCCGTGGATACTAACAAATAAATAGCACAATAATAATAATCATTGAAGAAATACCGATCATTGAATTGCATAGTCGGCCCTTCAGTGCCACCGATTGTACCGTTTTCTCGCTTACTTGAGATATACCTCACCTTTGATGCTCTCTCTCTCTCTTTACTAGACTGTACCTGTATTTTAAAGAGTTTTTAAAAATTTTAAGATACTCTCTGAATGCGACCGATAACTGGTATACGATTTGACATCAAAGTTCATTAAATATAATTTAATATATATTTATATAATATTACTGTCATATAAATTATGACTGTGTTTCCTATGAGATTCAACTATTTTTTGAAAAGTTTGGTACAAAATATTTTCATTACTATTAACGATAAGTATTTTATAAAAACACTAAAACTCATATTAACTTTTTTTTTATAAGGTTAACGATTTATTTGATTTTATACTATATTTTTTTAAATAACAAATTATTTATAAAAAATTAAATAATAAAATATAAAAAATAATTATTAATAAACTTAAAAACAATTTATTTTAATACATAAAATGTTTATCTTGCTAAATTAAAGTTAAAATTAATATGTTTTTGGCTAAATGTTTTGGATAAAATTTACAAAAAAAAAACAATATTTTGATAAATGTTGTGATGAACAGTTGAGTAAACTTATATAATATAAAGTAATATTTTTTAGTTAATACTCATCAAATTTATAGTATAATAACAATAATCATTTGCTAACTAAACTGTATACTAATACTATATTACTGCAAATTAAATACAGAATATAAGGTATAGTATAGTATAGACATGACTCTTAACTCTTTAATTTTTTTCTGATGCCATAAATTAAATGATTATAAAAAATAGTTATTAAGTTTGTTTTTTTAAAAGTTTAGTTTAATTTTCTAACACAACTAAAATTATATAGTATTAAAAGTCAATTATTTTGCTAAATTGGATTTTTTGATGCAAAATTTTATAAACATTTTATTTTGCTTTTTTTTAAAAAAAATTATCAAATTTCAAATCTCTTATTTTATCCGCAAATTTTTATCACCTCTTTTGGTGATGACTAACCAGAACTCATTTATTATGTTAATAAAACTTCTTATAAAATATATGTAATTATGTGATAAAAATGCTATGCAAACGATACGATCAATTATTTGTTGTAATTTTAAACTAAATTAGACAATTATAATAATTAATATTATTATTTCAATAAAAAAATAATTAGCTATTTTAATGTAAATTTTAAATTATAATTTATTAAACATATACTAAATAGTAACTTAAAATTTTAAAATGAAATTCCTATTTCAACAAAACAATGACATCTTATTTCTAATTATAACTTATGTTAATGTATTGACAATACATTGAATACAGTATTGTTTCTAATTATAGAAGTAATGGTATATTATGTACAGGTATTACATTAGACTCATAGTCATAGACTATTGATCGGCAAATGCTAATAAAGATTATATGAGATTACATTTACCTATAATATTGTATTTGAGAGTCAAAATGAAAGCTTTTTGTAGGCCAAGCCTTTCTCTCCTAATATACAACTCCAGTGTAAATCCATTGATTATATGGACGGAAAAAGTGTCTGTCCTTGTATTTGAATCCTTTTATGGTTTTTCATTATAATTGATGAATGAATATACTGTACTGTATGTGCCATTGGGTTTTTATTGGGCATTGAAAACAGCTGAGGGAGTAGGGCCTCAATTGGGCACCTGGTTGTCGACAAGAGGGGGGACGGAAGAGTAGGGGAACAGTTCGTTGGAAAAAATAGGTACAATTCGATTGATAGTTGTGCAGAATTTTTGCACTGACTATAGCACTGGTATTAGTTTAGGAAAGTTTTTCCGCACAAACCATTTTTTTTTGTTACCAAACTCCAGTCCCCCCTCTTTTTGCTTAACAAAGCTATAGTTCCCTTAGCTATCAAATAGGTTTTTGGTAACGCTTTGCTTTCGGGCACAACTAAGCCAAACATATGGCAAAAGTTTTTTTGTGTGAAAAACTTTTTGGCCATCAGTTTTGTAGATGATATACTGTATAACTATGGTTATGGTTTATAACACTTTATAACATTATATTGCATGTAGTAATATAAATATAAATATATATATATTTATAGCATAAAATTTATACTATTAATTTATAAAAATCATGTAATATCATTTATAATTTTTTATAAAAAAAATTATGTCAATTGCTAAAAAACAATGAAATAATTTATTTTTTTTTAAATATTCGTGAAAGAAATAAATTAGTGCTTTCAAATTGAATGTGAAATTTTGCTTTTCAATTGTATTTTTATTTTGTTAATAAAAAAATAATTTTTCGTGTATTCGGTTCACGTGAACAACTAAATAATAGGTCCGACACTTAAATAGATTTCAACACTTTTATATTATTATTATTATTACTACTATTATAAAAACAACAATTGAGAAACAATAATATTATAGAAGATATGTATGTAAGGGTACGCCAATTGGGTAGTGCAGACACCCAGACATTTCACATTAATTGTCGCTCTATTAATGAGACTATCGATGAGTTACGCGAAAAAGTGGCCCAAAAATGGATGTGTGACACCATAGCACTTGTTAGACTGTTTTTTGATGGCAAAGAGGTATGTATTATACAGTTGTATATAATAATACAAATAACTTAAATATATTGTTGTATACCATACACCTGTAATACTGTAGTAGTAATAATAATAGACAGCAACCCATATCCCAATTCCCACAAACTTTCCCAAAACTCTCTTCCATGACTTATAAACCCATATATAGTATTAAATATAAACCATATTTATATTAATAATTTACCGACAATTTAACATTTAATTAACTCAAACAATGCAAATATGAAAAAAATAATAAATATATGTTTAGGCATTATTATTGACTTAACATAATATCATAACTAATGCGAGTGTTTTTATTATTATTAATTTGAATACATTTTCATGTCTATAACAATAGCTCGATAATGGCTATACTTTATACGAGTATAATATTAAATTAAATAATGTAATACACGTATTGGTGAGACTACAGGATCTTCAACTCAATTATGACACGAAAAAAGTCGACAATACCGACGATACCGGTGTTACTAATCAAACTGAGTCCAACTTAAGTGATGAAGAAAACCACAATAATTATGATATATCTCTAGAATCAGATGACTATTATAGAGTAGGAGAACACGTGGATGCGCTCGACTCTGATACCGGTGCCTGGTTTGAGGCTACGATCAGCAAAATTTTATCAAATAGTTCAACATTAGAGCATAGATATTGTGTTAATTTTTATAGACAATCTTTGGGGACAAATATTTATTTAAAACTGTCATATATTAGACCACAAGCATCGGTAATAATATCGTTTGATGAGCTCAGGGCAGGACAGAGAGTACTGGCCAACTTTAATGCCGATTCTCCAGAGGAAAGGGGTTATTGGTATGAGTGTCGGGTCGAGAAAAAACTAACAAAACCAAAGAGAAAACTGTTTTCTACTATATATGTGTCGGATATTGTACTCAAACATCAATTGATAAGGTATGTCAACGAAATATACCAAATCGAGAGCACCGTTAGGATCATCGAACGGTCCCCAGAGTTAGAGAATCTCATACAGTGTGGCACCAAAACTAAGCGTAAGTCAACTGTGAAAATGGTTTAATAATATAATTAAACCAAAATTTTGTTGTTTTAAAAATTTATTTTTATTTACAGTATTATTATTAGTAACTTAGTACAGTACTAATTTAGTACAGTAATATTTTTTCGTATTATTAATTTTTAATAGTTATCAATTATTTTATTTTTCAAAAATTACTAATACTTTATTTATTTATATTATTAATTTATAAATTAATGCATTAAAAACAGGATTTAATTTTTTAATTATTATTTGTAAGTTTTTGTTTGAAAAAGTAAAAAAATAGTTTTCTTATAAGTGTTTCTTTCCCCTGAGTTATCGTATATAACTTATACAGATATCAATAGCACCGGTATTTGCCACTTACATAACCAATAACCCATTTTTCACAGCAACAACCCCTTAGCACATGTAGTGTTTGTGTCCGGTAACCCATTGTCTAGCAATTGAAAATTACTATATAATTTTGTTTTATTGTTTTTTGTTGTTGTTTTATTTATAGTAAAAACAAAAACTAATATTTTAGTTGTTTTTTTTTTATTAAATAATAAATAATATGTTTGTCATACAAATACCATATGAAACAAGTTTTTCATACAATTTTCATATCAAATACAACAAGAAAATAACAGATTCATTGCCAATAATAACACGAAACCCTTATTTATTTATAATATAAAGTTTAATGTCAAGTGTTTTATTAAGAAAAAAATTACTTATATTAACAATTCAACACAAATTTTGAAAATTATTCTACAAAACATATATAAACATAAAATTGAGAAAAACTAATAAAAGTCAATAGTTTTTTATGTTTGATTAAAAACAAATAATTTGATAATACAAATACAATTTTAAAGCTTTTATTATATTTATCGTTAAAAGCTTTAAAAAATATTTGTTTAAAAAATATTAAACAATATATAATATTTTAGACAATAATAGATTATAATGTTTTAAATGCATAAAAACAATTGGACTAACTATTGGTTAAATATATTGAAACTATAGGTAATACAGCACCCGATTGTGCGGACTGTATGGACAACCAGATGACGACATGCAAGAAGTGTTCGTGCAATCGATGCGGTCTTAAGACTGAACCGGAAAAGCAGATCATATGCGACGAGTGTAACGCTATTTATCATATCTGGTGTCTAAAGAAACCGTTGACAGTCATACCCGACGAAGACTGGTATTGCGATGACTGTGTCAACACTGATCTAAACAAATTGTTGACCATTCAGACCAATCAACTTGAGAAACGCAAGAAAGGTCTGAATCGGGTCGGAGTTAAAGAATGGGGTCGCGGTATGGCTTGTGTCGGACGAACACAAGTGTGCGAAACTGTTCCCAAAGGTCACTTCGGTCCCATTCCCGGTATTGAAGTAGGAATGTGGTGGCGATTTCGATTTCAAGCCTCTGAAGCTGGTCTCCATACACCACTTGTTGCTGGAATTCACGGCAAAGAAAACAGTGGCGCCTACTCTATAGTGTTCTCCTGTTCCTATGATGAAGACATCGATTTAGGAAATGAGTTTTATTATACAGCATCGGGTGGTAAGGATAAAACAGTTAACAAATGTCGAGTGGGAGGACCGCAAACTAAAGATCAGGAATTAAAAAGATGTAACAAAGCTCTGGCCCTTAATTGTTACGCACCATTCAATGGTACTACCGGTGCAAATGCTGGAACCGATTGGCAATTAGGACAACCGGTTAGAGTATTAAGAAGTGGTAACGGCAGAAACGCCGCCAAAAAGTCATTGTATTTACCAAAAGTTGGCGTTCGTTACGACGGCATTTATAAAGTGGTTAAATATTGGTCACAAACTGGAGAATCAGGTTTCCTGGTGTGGAGGTATCTGTTGAGAAGAGATGATCCGACACCATCTCCCTGGACTAATGATGGCAAAAATAGATGCAAAAGACTTGGACTGACAATCATATATCCTGACGGCTGGTCTAAAGAGACGGCGGCCAAGAGGTCGTATAAAATGGACGAAAAAGCGTTTCCAAATAAGAAACACAAATTGCTGTCATTTTCAATACCAAAGAATATTTTGAATCTAATAAAATGTGATAAAATTAATAAGACTTTATGGCAAACAGTGATAACACATGTTAAAGATGGCAAACAGGTATCAGTTATAGTGATTATAGTAAATGTTATCAATTATGTACTAATAATTAAAAATATTGTTTTTGTTTAATATCAGAAATTTATCGAAACTCTTGAGTTAAACTTCAAGTGTGTCTGTTGTCTGGATGTCGTCAGAGAGCCGGTCACTACTCAGTGCAAACATAATATATGCAAAGTATAATTATTATTTCAATTAAAAAAAATTTTAATATTTAATTTCAACTCTTGTTTCAATTTGACAGTCATGTCTGGAACAGTCATTTAATTCGGGAGTCAAAAGATGTCCCATTTGTCGAACTGATCTCAAGAATCTAAAGAGATTGTGTATCAATCAAGAGTTGAATCAAATATTATTACATTTTTCATCAATTGGTTATATAAATTGTAGTTAGCATTTGATTCAAATTATTTTTTAATACTTATTATAATACTTATAAAAACATATTATTTATTTATAAAATAATAAAAATAATAAAATTCTAATGAAATGCAAAGCAATTTTTAAAATATAACTATTTTTTGGGTAAATTGTGTGAAAATGCAGCATAAATTGAAAAATAAAAAATTATTATATAAGACAACATAATTTATTATTATAAAAAATTATAACCAATATTTTTGGATAATTATTCGGTAAACTAATAAGATAATCACTTTGTAATGATAGTAAACATCAATCGTTGCAATTATTTTTTCATTTTACACAAATGTCTTAATGGTAACATTCGGATGTCTTCGGCCGAAAAACTGACCACACCTTCGGCACCATCAATAGTAAGCAATGTTCCCGTTTGTTCCCTATCCTCACCAAATATGACTTTAACCTATTATTAAAAAAACAAATAATACCATTATTTTTCAATTGTTTTCACTATTATCTGGTGAGACAAACCTTATCGTTAGTCTGTGGCATAACTGGTTCCAAGTGGTCCAACAAAATGCTAACCACACGGTCTTCTCGCGGCAAAAATACTGAACACATACCACCCGATATACTTCTAATTATACCGGTTTGGCCAATCAGGTCACTGTCGTCATGATTCTCTTTGATGCGGACCTCTATGTCGGTTGTTTGCCACTCAATCGAATACGACTGTTCCATACCAGCACCTGGTGTTTGTGGATTAAAATGGGGTGATGCTATATTGCCCGGTGTCATCGGTGAATAACCGTAACCAGAGGGCGAAGGAGTTGGACCGACACTGTGAGGTCCATTGTAGGCCGGGCTCGGTGTCATATAACCGCTAGGACTGGGTGCTCCAGGTACACCATAGCCTGGTGATGGTGTGCCGGCTGGATTGTAAGGTGAATATGAATGATCTGCAGAAGCATACATTCCCGGTGTTTGTGGTGTGTATGGCCCTCCCGGAGGTGTTTCAGGATTCTGATAGCCAGGTGTCGGAGGATTTAATTGATAGGGATTTGATGGCGATGGCGACGGCTCGTCGTAATCAAAATCTGGACGCGGGGTTGTGGAAGCAGTTGGATCCCAAATGCTAGATGTGTGCACTGGAGTTCGTGACCCGTCGTGCATAGGTGTGGCTCCGCCACCTCCACCATAAGCTGGCGTTCGTGAACCGTCGTGTAACGGAGTACTAGCGCCGCCATACATTGGTGTTCTACTACCGGTACCATACATTGGTGTCTGACTTCCATACATAGGCGTGTTTCTAGCATAAGTGGACACTCCGCCAGTGTTACTGCTGCCACCAGCGCTACCGACCACAACAATACGTGTTTTATCAACAGTAATAGTCTGACACGTGGAGTGTAGTTCGACACGTGCTGTGGTGCCGATTGCATCTTTTACAATACCAATGTATCCCTTATACGTTCCTTGAGTTATCTTAATAGTCTTTCCAATCAATTCAAGATCAGATCTGTCGCGACCTCCTTTAAATCCTCCGCCGCCGTGACCACCACCACCTCCTCCTCCTCCACCTCTGGATGGAGTCATTCCACCGCCGCTTGAAGGATGTTGTGGTGATGCAGCGATGCGGGGCGACATATATCCAGAACTAGTATTGAGTACTCCCGACGCAGATAGTGGTCGACTACCGCCTGCAAGAATTAGATGTCGTGTTTTGCAGACATATATACCACCATTTTCTAACATTTGTCTCGAGTATAAAAACGCTGCATTTCTGTAAAGATGTCTGATTTCTCCTTGTCTTCCAGAATGCGGACCATCGATGACTTTCACGTGATCTTTCACTTGAATCTGATTTTGTTCAGAATCAAGAGCTACTGCCCGACGAGTGTCTCGTTTTTTTGAGACCGCCTGATGTTTGACGTGAACCAACTTTCCGTTTTGGTTTAATATTTGAAAATTTTCTTTCTCTAACCGCACAATTACACCGACCGTCTGCGCATCCAATTGGACCAAATCGCCCCATTGGAACTGACCCATCGAATCGACACCAGTGGCCATATCGGCGCATAATTGTAAATCTTTGGGTAAGACTTTCAGTTCATGCATTGTGAGATCCGAGAAGAGGACAACTTGATTGTCTTCAACGCGAACAATGAGTCCGGTGTCGCCTTCATATCTACCATTGATAACCTTCACGTGATCACCCATTTTAAAATATTTGCGTAATTCGTGCGCCTGAAAGTCAAGCGGATCAGTTAGATCTTCGTGCTTCGGAATCATTGTAATCTTATTGCCATCGATGGCTACAATCTTTCCCTGAAGATGAGCTAACTCGCCTTCGCACACTTCAATGGTATCGCCCGGTGCAAAACTGTGGCCCTTATCCTCGGCAATAGTACTCTCACTTAATTGTATTTCGATGCCTTCGGGATGTTCTTCAAACTTTTCGAGTTCAGACAGTGTAGGTTTGACGCCATCGATGAGCAGTGCACTCGTGGCAAACGCTTTATACAGAAAGCCTCGTCGGTAGCGATTGCTTTCGAATATAATAAAATCTCCGTCGTTAGTCACTTCGCCACCAATTGCACGAATGGCATCGATATCAAAGAGTTTGGCCGGCGGACGTTTCATGCGCTTCCGTTTGTTTTCATTCTCACTGCTGGCGGCTCGTAGAGCACCTCTCAGTCGGGTATAGTCAATGCGCGGAATCAGTTTCAGATGAACCTGATTCTGTGCTGTGTCCACATAGTCCACTTGTCCCAAATCATCCTTATAGAGACCCCGCTTAAGTCGCACCCATTGATTCACTTTAATCTGTTGACTGTCTTTAGTGACGCGCAACACATCTGTCATTTCATTGATGGGAACCATTGTCTGTCTATAGAGACCAAGTCTTAAGTTACCCAAGCCTTGAATGGCTTGTTTCACGTGAGTCTGTTTAAAGGCTTCGATATAGATATAACCTTTGATACCTATCGACAGAATATTATAGATATAATCAGATAATTAATTGCCATCAATATAATCATGACATACCTTCCGGTGCTACAACAGATTTGATAGGCAACGGTTCGTCAGTATTGGCAAAAGCAATCACTTTTCGCATGAGTTGCAAAACAGTGGTCTTTTCTTCGCCGATCTTACACTTAACCATCCAAAGATTCGGATCTTTAACGCCAGGCATCAGTGCCTGTTGTGTAATATCGTCGGGAAGATCCAAATCGCCATCGTTTCCGCGTTCGGCGGCCGACGACTCGGCATATTTACGACGATAATAGTCTTCAATCTCGTCCTCCTTTTGACTATTCCATATCATATTCAACCGTCGATGTGAGTCCATCTCACGCTGTGAGCCATCGTCGAGATGTTTGTTTTTCTCGATGATCTCATCGGCGCCCTCTTCCCATTCATCTTCGTCTTCAATTTCGTCGTCAACCTCTGCCTCATCTAATATAAACCCTCCATGTCTTGGCTTTTTTCGTTTGCGTCGCCGACGACTATAGTCATCGTCGTCTTCATCCTCTTCGTCGTCATAATCATCCAAATCTTCGCCTTCCGGTTCCTCTTCATCGGGAGCCTCTTCTTCTTCTCTTTCAACTTCTTCGGCCTATTAATAGTCAAATAACATTATAGCACTTCAATGCAATTCACGGGTGTCATCACCACAGCAGTGGTCAAAGCGGTAATCAATCAAACAATTGTTAAACAAAAAACACTTCAAGTAATACCTCATTGTCTGAATCTCTGGTCGACTCTTCGCTGTCCGACATTGTCTTCCTATATCTTTCTCTCTATGTCTTCAGTGTTGTTGTAATTGTGGTCAACGTATAACACAATTGATGACCAAATGTGTTGTGAATTTGCAAATCAATTGTTGTTTTATTTATGATTTGCATTCAATTCACTGTATATTTACTGCTATTATAACAGATATTAATGATATTTATTTTGTTAATATTATTTTAATATATTGTTAACAAATTGGTACGTTTTTATATTATATGTTTTACATTATTCGACTATATATTTTATTAGTAATCTAAAGGTACTGAAACTTGCAATAATTGATAACCTTATTGTACTACAGATACTGAATAATTTGGAGTTTAAATTATATTTCAATCACTCAATGGGTGGCACTTGTAGTCAAAGTGGGCGCGATTTCAGTAAATTTTAAAATTAATTAAAAACTTTTTTACCAGTAATTAACAAATAACTAAATAAGATTATAAAATCTATTATAATTACCGGTAGTTATATATTATTATTAATATATATATCTATAATTGTTTGGTTGTCATATGATGACCATTAGTTTAGTTTTCAAACTAATATTAAATTGGTTATCATTATCATAAATTATGAAAAAATGATTCATAATAATCAATAAAAAAAATCATTATACAAGAAAAAATATATCGTAATTAGCGGTACTATTATAATATATCTCTATTGTAGTGATTATTATTATTACTTTTATAAAAATTATATTTAATATTTCTACATGTTATACATATGTATATAATATATACGAATCATTTTTTTTAAAAAACAATTTCGGAAAAAAACATTTTAAAAAATACAAACTATTTAAACAAACAAAAAAAAAATCGAAACATTGTGTCAATAAAATTAACAACATTTACGGTACAGTAATTTTTTTTATCAATTAATAATGAAGTGATAGTTAAAAATGTGATAAACAATTGGATTAAAAATAGGTTTGATTTACAATATATTTAGAAAATTAATTTCACTACTCATTGGTGACCATCTCTTCAGTATTAATAAGAATGTGTTCCACACTGTCATGTGTTGGTTGTTCTTCTTCTCCATCTTCTACCTCTTGTTGTTGTTCTTCTCCATCGTCTTCATCTTGTTGTTCAACTTCTTGAGGATTAATATTGATTTCTATTTGTTTTTGGTTAGCGACTGTACTATCCCTGAGATGCAGTCGTTGATGTTCTCGTAGTTTATCAGATCTGGTAAACCGTTTATCACATGTCTCACAAGCGAACGGTCGTTCCCCAGTATGACATCTCCGGTGTCGCTGTAGTTTATAGTTGGAGTCGAATGGTCGGCCACAACCGGGCCAATCGCAGGCAAATGGTTTGCTACCCGCGTGTATTATGATATGTTTGGCGAGTTTTGCCGAATCGTTAAACCATTTGCCACAGTATCGACACGACGAACCAGTTCCTGATGACGACAAAAGCACTGGTGTGCCGGGCAGTGGTGGCAAATCAGGTTCAATCTCGCTTTCAGTTCTCGTACCCCATCCCTGTTCACCTTTGCGTCGACCTCTTCGTGACGGTGTTTGAACACCTCCGCCACGTTTGCGGCTTTTCGGAGCCGGTTTTGAGGCAAACTTTTTCAACTTTTCCAGCATTTCCTTTGATTGTTGAACTTTTCTCTTATAAGTGTTGACCTCTTTCTCTAATTTTGTCAACTTTTGCCGATCGGCTAACCGTTGTATACGTTCGCACTCGAGCTCTGTCTGCAAAAGAGTAAACGCTTTGTCACTCTTCCACATGGCTTCTAACTGGTCGTCAAACTCTTGCAAATACATCCAATTCTCGTCCAACGCTTCCCTTACATCAGGTATCGAGTCTTTCATCATTCGAAACACATTTAGTATCAATAAGGCGGCCATCGATAGCACCTCTTGTATGCCGTCCTCTAATTTAAGTGATTCTATAAACGGAAACAATATATTAATCAATAGATTATTTGTTTTAAAGACAATCAATGAGTTTTACCGATAAGGCTTTGACTTTCGGCGTTATAAAAAGAGATCAACCAATTTCTGATATATTGACTAATGTCTGTCAGGTCGGCTTCGGTCACCGACTCGAATGTCTTCAATTTGTTATCATTCAGACAACTAGTGATAAATGAGTCGTCAAACATCTGAATCAATGCCCGCAACTTATAGATCATCGACTTTATATCGGCAAAGTCCACGACCGGCGGGTCAGTCACAATGCCATTCATTGTGTTAATCATTGCCACCTTATGGTTGTCCTCTATAGAGATCACCCGATATTCACTCAAATCAAAGTGCTGTTCACCCGACGAATCCATAGTATACTATCGGTAATGGTTTTGACCAAAAGTTGCCACAGATTTCTGTAATAATAAGTCAAATAAAATCAAAAATTTAAATTCAAAACAAGTTTTTTGATAAAATAAAATCAATTAAAATTATTTTAACTAAAAGTCAAATAAATTAAAAAAGTTTTCAAAACTATTTTTTTATGAAAAGTCAAACATTTTTGAAGATAACGTTTTGCAATAAGCGCTACATTTTTTTGGGGGACTTTTTGGGGGACATATCGACCATAGAGTTAAAACACTTTACACAAGCATTGCATTACTATTTCACTACTCATTTGGATAAACTATGCGACCGTTTGTTACGATAATAAATATATAAATAATTTAATAGAAACTATTGTTTTTGTTTAATATACAAAAATACTATATTTATTATATAATATATTTACCCGTAAATTATATAGTTTTGAATCGGATAATTGAATTGCAATTATATTTGAATCAATTCACACACAAAAACAGTTTTTAGGGGCGATTATTAATATGGACTGTACTGTAAAAATGACGGCAACAAAAAAGGATAGGTATGTCTATAAAGACAGTAATCATGGAGTGAAGGGTCGTCCGCACAGTTGTGTGCCGTTTGCGCACTCGTATGCTGTAAAGGGGGGCTTACAATGAGACACGTGTTATGTTATGGGATCAGTCAAATACGTCCCGAAATTATTGTGTGATTATTGATAAAACTATTAAATTATTATCAGCTCTTTTTAGGGTTAACTTTGAACGACAAGTTTTATTTAGAAAAAAAAACTTTTGTCTCATTTGAATTGTATTTATAATCACAATTAAATTAAAATTATTTAAATTGATTAATAATAATAATAATATTTGTTTCTAATATTTGTTGTACTTATTGACACTGGTTTTTGTTTATTTATTTAATATATTAAGTTTATAAACTGTACAATATTAGTAAACTAATTTAACTTTAGCAATTAATTTGCTATTAAAATTGTACTAGGGTATAACCAAATTGCTATATAATTTACAATATAGTAACAGATATGTAATTTTATTTTTAAATTGTTAATTTCATATTTTGATATTAAATTACAAGTATTTATTTATAGTTATTATTAATTTGTTTGTTTGTCTAGTTTTGTGATAACAAACATTTTTGTTTTAAAATTAGTTTTTATCTAATTTTTTTGTAAGTTATGAATTTTGTTTACCAATTGATTTATGAACAACAGTTTGATATCTTGTAGTTTTGGATAACAATTGGTGGCCTTTATTTAAATTATTTAGTTTTAATTAAGATATAAATTTAATAGAAACGACACCTCAAACAAACAAAAAACGGTGTCTCATTACAAATGTCTCAAAAGGGTAGTTCCCAGCACTAGTATCACAGAATATTCCCTCATTTATTCATATCAAATAAATATCAAATATCTTTATTTTGTATTAATATAATTTACAGCATATTATAAATAACTATTAATGATTATCAAAAAATATCAATTAACATTTTAACAATAATTTTAACAAAATATGTTTATAAGTATATGAATACTATGTAAATGTGACCAACGAAACCATAATCAGAGCTTTAGATCAATAATTCAATATAACATAATTTGTTTTGAAAAAATTAATATTTAGTTATATTAAATAAAATATATGATAGAAATTATTTTGGAAATATTTAGCTATTAATACGATTAATATGATTGTTATTACATTGTTTAAAAAATACAGTATATAATTAATTAGAAATGCAATATTAAAAAATGAAAATATTATTTAGACATTTCATTTACTTAGTAAATGTGTTGCAAGTATAAGTATATATCATAGTATTAAAAACTAGAGTGACCAAACTATATTATATTTAGAGTATAAATAAATTACAAACAAATTTTGAAAAATAAATTATTATTTAAATATAAATTTATTATAATTTGATTTAAATAAAAATTAAAATAACTATTAATCTTAAAAATATAAGAATTACTAAAAAATAATAACATAAAAATCAAAATTATATCATTAAACTTTTTTCCTTATTTTTTATTTTTGTTGGCTACTATAAAATTTTTATTTCAATGTTATTGAGCAATCAATGATAGACAAATTGTGTAGTATATTGTGTACTAATTGACTCTCCCCCGCATTTTACCCTTTTATCATATCCTCTATTGGAGGAAATCACTATATATATACCCATCCTTGCAAATTTTACTATATAATGTAATTAAAAAAAATAATAATACATAAATTTTTACAATGTTATCATAATTATTATATTTATTTTGAATTTCTGTATATTTCAATTAACATTTAAATATAAATTTAAATATACAGTATATATTAAATAACTGATTCATAGAACAAAATGCAATGTTTTGACAACTTTAAGAAAAGTTTGTATTTTTTTTTATTAAAAAAATATTTTAATAATTGATAACTAATTTATCCATCAAATAGATAACAAAGAATCGCAATGGACTGAACCGTTTGTGTTCATCCATAGCACAGATCCACAGTTTGGTTTGATTGATAGGATGGCCGGTAAACATGTGTTGAAATGGGATAAAGAAATACAATTAACAAGAGATGCCATTAAAGCCGTTAACCGAATGCAACCGAAACCCAAGTTTTTGGTCGTCGGCGGAGATTTCGTGCACTCAATGCCCGGAAATGCTGACCGAAATCAACAAATGTGTGACTTTCAAATGTGTTTAGACCAACTCGACAAAGATATTCCTCTGGTATTTGCTTGTGGTAATCATGATGTAGGCGACTGTCCCACCAATGATACCATTGATGAATATCGACGAGACTTTGGAGACGATTATTATTGGTTTACTTGTGGCGGAGTTTTTTCTATTGTATTAAACTCTCAGTATTATAAAGACGATACACATGTGAAAGATTTGACCAAAAAACAGGATAAATGGTTGGATGAAGTCCTGGATATCTATAAACAACATAATTATAAACATTTAGTAGTTTTCCAACACATCCCGTATTTTTTGCGAGAAGTTTACGAAAAAGACGATCGCTTTAAAACTTGCATTAAAGAAGATTTGCGGATCAAAATGTTATATAAATTACACAAATCGGGCGCCCGATATGTATTTAGTGGCCACTATCACAGTAATGCCGGCGGTATGTATAAAGATTTAGAACAAGTGGTCACTTCTGCACTCGGCGGACAATTGGGTACCGATCAGAGTGGACTCAGAGTTGTCAAAGTTTATGAAAACAGTATTCAACACCAATATTACAGTGTCGATGAAATCCCAGAAATAATACAACTCTAATGTTTCAAATGATTTCATCTAATAAATTAATACATTATAAAGTATATTGAAAATTCAAAAATAATATTATTGTGAATTACATAAATTTAATTAATGATTTTTATCATTATCGGTAGATTTTTATATTTAATTATATTTAATAAATTAAAACTTATTACTGATAATTGTATTTTTTACAACACTTCTGAATGTGAAACTAACTTATTATTGAATAGAATTTAATTAAGACTATATAATACAATATTAATAAATTATTTTGTTGTATAAATTGGTAGAACAGTATAATTGTTATCCAGGTCACCAATTTTATCTTAAAGTTCATAACAATATTATCAGAATAATAGTGATATAAAATTGACAATAATTTATATTTTTATAATTATTATATTGAATCAAATTAATGTAAACAACACTAAATGTTAGTAATTACCAGTAATTAATAATGAATAAAAATTATAATCAATTTATTTATAGAAAATAAATTATCATAATATATTTCATGTTTTATAAAAATACATACCCATTTACCGGTATATTTAAAATACATGAAAAATAAACAATAACAATGAATGAGACTATTATTTGATATATTATTATACTATTACGATATTTAATTTTTTTAAATAATTAAATAAATTAAATAAAGATTTGTAAATCTCACACATACTTATATATTGTTTATTATTATTATTACTATTAAATATTGCAAAACTATCAGAAAATAGCTATTTATTATGGTTTTATTAATTTAAAAAATCGAAAAATTTTTATAAAATTTTAATTTAGGGTAATTATTAAAATATCAAAATTAGAAAATTATATCAATTTGATACAATATTTTAAAACTATCAATAAAATTATAAATATATCATTTAAAAACTTTGATATTTTTGATGAGATAATTGTTGCATTAGATTTGTATCAATTAGTAAATTGTTGTGCGATATATAAACCCATTTCATAAATAGCACCGACTTGTTGTAAATTAGTGATAATTGTAACGACCAGCTCGTTGTTTGGCTCAATTAATATCACAGATGAAGCACCGATAGCACCGCCCGTATGTGAGAAGATATGGCTAAACATTGGTTCGGAACAGTAGGAAAACTTGGATTGAGTGCCTCGAATTACACCCCAACCTAAACCTATTTAAATTACAGTAATATTAAATGTATTTACCGGTAATTTTATTTTTAAAAATCAATTGTCTCATTTGACATACCATATCCACCCCAACGGGTGTCCCAATCAAGTCTCGTATTTGTTAACTATAAATTCAAATAAATTATTGTAGAAAATGTGTAGAAAAATAGAAATAAATAATTTGACATTAGACCCAAAATTTATAAAATATAATTAGTTACTAAAAATATTGTGTAAATATAAGATCAATAATCTAATTTATATACATTGATTGAAAATCAATTTCAATGTATAAACTAATTGATTGTTTGATTTGTTGACTGGGATGACAACAACAGTTGTTCAAACTGTTCGGTCGATATGTTTTGTTGTGTAAATTGTTTTGCAATATATGTAGCCATCGGACCGAGTTCTTTGAGCTCATTATAATTGGTTAAAATGGTGACAACACATTCACTCTTAGGCTCAATCAATAGTATAGAAATGGCACCCATAGCGTGACCAGAGTGGGAGATCATGTTAGGAAAGGGTGGTTCTGAACAATAGGCAAACTCTGATTCAATATTTCTAACTGCACCCCAACCTATACCTAAAAATATAACAAATAAAAATATTATTTAACAAAATAAATTACAGGTAATTTATATATAGATATAAAGTGTCAAAACCAACCATATCCTCCATACTGTCGATGAGCAGTAGTATTCTCTGCCTATAAGATGTTAGGTGTCACCAACAAAAAAAGGGTATTACCAAAAAAATCATTAATTTAATGCCTGATATAATAATATTATTTTTTCTATAAACCCCAATACAATTTATTGTCATCTAATGTCAGACTCTTTCAATAACAATACAAATCACTTACAGGTGTCCACATTTGGTCGACAATATCTTTTCGGATGAAACCCGGCTTTCCATCAGCAGTGCCTCCTTTATAGCTATAGAGCATAATATTGCCAAACTTTAACAGGTCGTAGACATTGGACAGAAGTCCACCGCCGGCCCACTTGTAGCTATTGTCGACATACGGAGCGTTTTGCATACGACCAGAGTTTTCATTTTTCACATAAAAATGTGACCGATTGTAGATAATCGGGTCGTTTTGGTCCAAATATGTGTGCTCTAAGCCGAGTTCATTACGCAAAAATTTAACCAAATATTTCTCAAACTTTTCGCCATTCAATTGACTTTCAATGACTGCACTAATCAATGTATAACCAAATGTCGTGTAATTATACTTTTCTCCCGGTTTGGCCACTAGTGGATCGTCTTTAAACAACTTCAGTGATTCAGTTACCGACGGGAATGTCTCTTTCAAGTAATATTCGGGTACAGAAAACTCCGCCAATTTGTAGTCATCGGTGGTGTTTTTATTATTATTATTATTACCCTTCTTGTAGTGTCTAATTCCGCCTAAATGTGAGGCTAATTGTCTTAAAGTTATGTCCACTTTCTTGCCGTCCCAGAACTTATCGGGAAATTGATCTTTGGTCAGGTATTGCGAAATTGGTTGATCCAAGTCTAACTTGCCCTCCTGTAACAGCTTAGCCAACAGTGCAGATGTCATTGATTTGCTTATGGATGCAATTCTCATAACTGTCCTGTCATTACATTTGACGCCATTCTCAATATCGGCAAAACCTTCTGAATAAACCCAAACATTTTGTCCCCGAAGACTAACACCGACAACAATACCAGGAATGCCATTAATTTGTCGCCATTGACTCAATCGGTTAACACACGAGTTGATAATGTCCTGACCGCGACTCACGTCCTGTCCATTATCGTTGCCGTTAATTGGCTTCAAGTTGTTGGCCACCAATTCATCAGAAACTTTATCTCCGTTTTTCTGGTCAACCTTTAACGTATCGTCCGAGTTGGCCGACTTGGCATTGAGTGTGACAAGAGTGGCGGCTCCCGACCCGACGGCAACACCGATGGCCAACACAACCTTTCTCTGCAAATGTCTAAACATATGTACCGTCACTTCAATTCACTTCACTTACTATACAATCATTTGTTTATAAACTTATTGTTTGTTTTGTAAATATTTTCATTGAAAAACATATGACTTTATACTGTATTTTAGCGCATAATCTGAATGTTTTTTGTAAAATTAAATAATATTTTATTACTTTTAATACTTTTAATACTTTTAATACTTTACTACTATATTAATAGTTTATTATTAATATTTCCAATAAATTAATAATAATTTAATATTTACAGTCTATAATAGATTTTATTATTTTCTATTTTTATTTAATAAGTATAAAACTCGTAAAACCATTGAAATATTGAATATATAACTAAACAATAAAAACCAGGTGTAAGTAAAGTCAATATAAATACAATAAAATCAGATAATGATTGGGTATATTTTTGAATGAATATACGGTATATATATATATGGTTATCAAAATAAAAATTGATTAAATATATTTATTTTTATTATTATTATTATGTAAATTATTTATTGATAAAAAAATACTCTATAAAAAGTGGAAATTACCCGGTTCATTAATCATCTATTTTTTTATTGATATGCAATTAGTAATACAGCATAATATTACTGTAAATAAAGCAGACAATAATTTTATATAAACTTATAAAAATTATGTTAGAAATATTTAATAAAATATAATTATTGACTAAATAGTAATTTATACTTCATTTTAACTAAAATTAACGATTGATATTTTTTTTTTGCTTAATGATATCTAATAATATATATATATATATATATATATATATATATATATATATAGTAATAAGATTTAATTTCAAAATTAATTGCACTTTAATTATTAAATTAATTCATTATTTTTTTTAATGTTTTATCTACGCTATATGTTATCAATAAAGTCTTACTAATAATATCTTTAAATATATAAACATTATTCACATCATATAAATGCATATACTGTACAGTAATTATACTGATTAAACAAAATTATGATTTAACAAATAACATAAGTTAATGTTAATATGAGAAAATTAACAAATGATCAAATATTTTGTAATAATAACAACATTATATTTATACAAAAAAAAACTTCAAATTTAACAGAATTTTGTTGCTATAAATTATAAAATTGCTTAATAACAAACAATGATAGTAACTTACATAAAATAGTATATATATTGATTATTTAAAATTTTTCAATAACATATTGTTTGTTTGAAATTATTATTATTTTATTTTTTTAGAGACGATAAACTATACAATTAATTAATATTTCACATCCTATTTTCTAGAAATTTTAATCACATTTATTGTACAACAGGTACAGTATTTAAGTTTTATTTTATAAACTATTATGTAATAAATTGAAACTACCAATTGAGTTTTAAAAAAATGTATATACAATTAATTATAATTACATTATACCTTATTGTTGATCAATGTTGGTGCGGCACAGGTATATCAATCGCACCAATTTATGCTGGAAAGTTTACGCTAATATATAACCCAAGTGTCAATGAGACCAAAAAATGGTATATCAATGATCACACATTTATTTGTGACACAACCGGGGTTTGGCACTTATATGGCATCACACACCCGGAGCCGGCAGATCCGGAACACGAGATCGAGTTGGCACACGCGACTGCACCACAATTATCCGGGCCGTGGACTCGACAACCGTTTGCATTGGACGTTGACTATACCTATTATGGTGAAACACATTTATGGGCACCGCACGTAATACGTGTCAACGAAACATATTATATGTTTTATAACGGCGGCGGTGTTGACCATACAAAATATTCGCTAAGTTTGGCCACATCTAGAGATCTTTTTCATTGGACACGACTGGCCAGTGGTCCGCTTTTTAGGGACGGCTACGATGCACGCGATCCAATGGTTATCAAGATCGACAAGATTTGGTATATGTATTATTGCGCAAACAATCCGGCAACCGGTGGCCACCACGTGATTGCCTACCGAACCAGTACCGATCTGATTCATTGGAGTGAACGACAAATTGCGTTCACCGATCCAACTACTGGTACATGGGGTGGACCCACAGAATCACCATTTGTAGTACATTTAAACAATTGGTGGTATCTGTTCACTGGTCCGCGCAATGACTACCGCAAGACGGCTGTCTTTCGTAGTAAAAGTCCGACCAATTTTACGATCGACCAGCAAATCGGTGAAATCGACTCACACGCCGCCGAAGTGGTGTTCGATGGACACAGTTATTGGATCAGTCATTGTGGTTGGGGTGAGGGCGGTGTCTATTTGGCACCACTTTATTTTCCAATAGATTATGACATTAATATTTAATAAGACAAATATTTTTTTAATGTTACTTTCAATGCATAAATTATATAATATGATTATTTTTGCCTAATAAATGATATAAAATATGCATAAACTTATATTGAATATAATACTAATACTGTAATATTGTATTGATTTTATAATATATTTATATTATTTGTTGGCTTATATTTATGCCACAAGTATTTTGAAAGCATACAAACAACCATTCATTCAAATAGCTGGTCGTCTCTCATGGATTGGTTAGACTATTTTAGTGACTAAACATAATAGTGTCTAATACTGTATGATTGTGTGCTAACAGTCTGTCAGATTCATTGAGAGTCGGCGTCGGAACTGTCAGAATCCCAGACTCACTATCGTTAGCATTACAAGTATACTAAGCACTGGTAGGTTAAAGAATATTCTGTGTATGTGTTTAGGTTTAGTGTGTAAAACCCCATAATTTCTCTAAAATATACGATTCATAAGAGATTTTGAGAGCATAAAGAGTGTGTGTGTGTGTGTTCACTGTAATTCACTGTATAGTTATTACTATACATTGTATTTGAAACTTATATCATAATATACTGTACAGTATATATAATTTGTAAGTCATAATCGGTTAAAGCTTTTTCGGCAAACAATGCTATCGGTGTCGGTCTCAGAACAGGTTAAGTTTAAGAGCAAAAAGTGCGGCACAGTATCGGTATTGCCGGTCACAGGTATGACTGAATTTATTATAGTTGTTTAAATTCAAACTGAATTATCAATAATACATAACTATTAATATTATCAAAAAATATTTGTTAAATACATTAATTTTGTTTTAACTAATCAGTTGAATTTGGCAAATTTTGTGGTCACGAAAGCCAATCCAATGGACGGCTAAAGCGCACACCTAATAGCGGCGGCACAACTCGTGCGGACCGACAAATCAATTCAGATAATGTATGTGTAGTTTAAATGATTATATATTTTTATGTCTTATCATAACAAACATTACATTCATTTACTATCTCTCACCTAATATTTACTTACAAAACACACACACACACACACACACACACACACACACACATATATATATATATATATATATATATATATATATACATACATACAAACATTAAATATAACTGCTTTTATCGTATGTAATGTTACTCTTAATTTTTTGTTTGTTTGTTAGTGTTGGTGTTGTTGTGTGTTGTTTGACTTTTATATTATTTTTTTTTAATTCCCACTCATAATATACTTTAATATTATGTCAAAATTAATACAGTATTATGTTGTGTAATGTAAAAGTCAAAAGACAAAATAAAATATAGTCCCCTAATTAAGAGTTATTCATATAATTTAATATACAATATGTATATAATAGCAATAAAATTAAGACACTGAATAAATGACTAATTTATTTTATACAACATTATAATCAATATGTAATCCAATGGCTTATTGAACTATAATGTCAGTGAATATATGTATAGAGTTTTTTTGCTATAGAATCTAATTTAACTTTTTTAATATATGCCAACAATTTACTTGTAGTTTATTACCTAATATAAAATATTAAATAGTTTTTGCAAAAAAAAATAAATAAAATTGCTGATAAATTTTATACAATAAAATTTTGAGTAATATTTTTCGTAAAAATTTATTAGTTTTTTCTTTAAATTTATGTCATACTAAAATTTTTTATTGCTTTATGTGATAATTAAAAATATTTTTAAACATTGAAAGCTCAAATATATCACACTATTATAACTAAATAATATAATATCGTATATATAAATATATATATTGTATTTATAATGAAGTTTATATTTAATAGCAATGCTATATATTTTTTATTGCAATTTAGTAAAAAAGACATCAATAGTTTACATTAGTGTTTGAAATGGCATTTCATAGCATTTGTATTATATTGACTTATATTGCTTATAGTTTGTACAGACTTTACAGTCACTTATGTGGTGACCATTTGTTTGTAATTGTCATTGAAAAGCGTGTCTGAAATTTAAGATCACTGTCTCTAACAATAATGTCTACCATATCTATGGCACACTTAGTCATATATATATCTTTATATACCGATTCTATAGACAAAACAGTGAATTGGGATTCGTGTCTACAATAATAGGAAATAAAATATAAATTTAATGCAAAAAAAGTAATATATACAGTATATATATATAAATTGTTTGGCATTTGTATATACTGTATATCAATACCACAAATAAAATTGACTTTAATGTTATATGATATTTATATATGTGAATTAAATGAAAATCCATTTGTTTTTAGATATATAAAAGCATATAATGTATTATGTTATTAATATATCTATTAATGTTATATTTAGTCTAACACTTGAGAAACTAATGTTCAAAATATATTTAAGTTTATTGCTAATGGATTTAAAATATATATTATTTTTAAGTCTAATGTTTAAATGTTTATAAACTACTATTGATTTTTTCCCATTAAGATTATGTTTATTTATAGTAAAACCTTAAATAAATTTTTGTTAAATTGCAAACATTTATATATATATTGACTTAAAATATAATATATGTCATTTACAAAGACATACTCTATTAAAGACTTAAAAATATAAATGAAAAACTAAAATAAAAATGAATAATTATATGTTAAATGATAATTGTTATTAAAAAGATTCAACATTTTAAACTATTCACATATTTCGCACAACTTATTGAAATAATAGTAAATCATTAGTTACATTGTATTTGACTATTAAAATAATTTTAATTCGTATAAAAATTGTTATTATAGTTGTCAATAGATTTAAAAAAACATTTGATGGGATCACTGGTGCCCACACATGAACGGGTATTTGACGTAATCAATGAATCCTTGTTTTATATGTTTAGATGTCAGTCCCCTTTGCTGTGCTTATAGTGATTGTTATGCAATACAAACGGTATTTGATTATCGATTCAATTGAAATCCAATTAGATTTTGGCTAAAATGCCTGAGTTGTCGACTAAATCGATGGTTTGCCGAAAAAAAGTTTAGTTTCGCTGAGATAGCGATTTAATCTATTCAGGTGTGACTCAGTAGGCTAACCCCATAATAGTATTAAATATAAATAAGATAAATAACATATGTTGACGTTTTATACTTTACTATACAGTAGGTGTGTGTGTGTGTTATAAAATTGAATGCCATGATGTTACTAATCTTTAAATGACAATTAATTTAATATACGTATAATTTTATATTTATAATAAGCTTATATATGCTGTCTATAGAGACTATATATGCTGTGTAGATTATATACTAAAAATTTATATATATTATAATATTATAAACTTAATACTGATTTTGAAAATAATTAATTAAAAATTTATAATTTCATTTTATTATATGAATAAAATAAAATATTTTATTCATATAATAAGCTATAATATTTTCAAATAAAATGTTAGCTATTTCAATGTATACTTTTTTATATAAATATTATTTAATTTAACTATTGCTGAAATAATTTAAACATTCAAAATATCAAATGTTATTTTTTATTTAAAAAAATACATTTATTTATTTTATATTCGGATGTGAGAAATGTTTAAATATATTTAAATAAGTATTGCTTTAAATTTTATAAAATTCATAAATAACACATTGAAATATATTTCTATGAAGATATTAGAAAATAAATTTATCAAAAAATTATGTTTTATTTATAAAGAATATTCTTGAAAATGTTATGTAATTTAATCTTTTAAAATAAAATTCATGTTTATATCTGATGTATACATATTACTAAATTTAGTAGTGATTAATATGATATTCACGTTTATTGTTTTAAATAAATTTTATAATATTCTAGTTAAAAATAAAAATAATGTTATATATATTTATACCATATATATAGTCATGTTTAGAATAAATAAAATTATTGAAATTATTGAAAAGTTCAAAGAAAATAATATTGTTATGACATTTAATTGTAAATATTTTACATTTTTGTTGCATTTTAAAATAAATTTTATGCTATATTTATTTTCAATATTATTGTTATAAAATATAAATTAACAATATATTGTTTGCATAGTTATTATAACAATAAAATTACAGATAAATTATAAAATATATCTGAAATATGTTTTGATGAATATTTAATGATAAAATTTATACAGAAGCAAAAATTATATAAAATTTTTATTAGATTAACATTTTAAATATTGATACAAAAATGAATTTTGTTTTTTGATTACTGTATAAATTTATTAATTTACAATATTTTAGTTATTTTATGTTCACTATTTTATTTAAATTTAAACTTTGAAAAATATAGATTTTATATTAGGTATTATTTACAATATGTATTATTTATACTGTAGTAATAATTATTAATAATTTTTTAATTTTTATTTTATAACTGAGCATATATAACTCTCTCTCTCTCTCTCTCTCTCTCTCTCTCTCTCTCTTTCTTTCTTTCTTTATATATATATAATAAAATAGATAATAAAAAATTTATCAAAAAAGAAAATATATATAAGTTATAATAAGAAATAACTTATAGCAGAAAATAGTAAAAATGCTTTTTTCCTAAATATATATAATAATAATAAAGATTATATTAAAAAGTGAATATTTTTATATATAGTGGAGTGAATTGACGTCAATTTAGGACATGAAATGATATTTATCAAGTCTTACGCCATTCAGAAATAATAAATATATAACTTATATATCATAAGTCATACATCAGTTACATCGAGACATAAGGTTTCCTATCATAAAATGTATTCATAATTTGGTTTTTCTATAGAAGTAAATAATAGAAAGATATGCTTATAGTATAAGTCTATAGTTAGACCATACGTACAAATAGACAAATAGAAAGAGAGAGAGAGAGAGAGAGAGAGAGAGAGAGAGAACGGGAAGTCATATTTTATTAATTTTATGATATATACACTTAACGGCCAAATCATTATCAATAGCACACATCACTTCACACATCGTTTATTGTTTTTTGTATTGAAAATAAAATTTATTTTTTAAAAGCAATGCATTTAAGCGTATACATAATATAAGATATAAATGCTGGAGTATTGTCTATTTTATTTGGTTTTGTTATATATATATATAATTTAATTTAAAACATGTAAAGCACATCTAATGTCAAATTAGATAAATATCATAAATTATAAGTTGACAGCTATTTATAATAATTTTATTATTAAAAATAATGTAAATATTTTTATAACTGATAAAATACTGTATATATTGTATACATTGTAAATATATTGCTCTTAAATTATTATTTTCATTATAATAATAATACTATTTAATATTTATATAAAGTTAATTTGAAATGTCATTTTAAAATAATTTAATATATTTTTTTTAAATAAAAAAAATAATTTTTTGTATTGATATTTCCATAAAACTCAATTTAAAAGTCATTTATCAAATAACTATTGTTTTTTTTTTGTTTTATTTAAGTTAGAATTAACTGGAATTATAGTATTACAATATATTTTTGTCTAATATACTGTATATATATTACTTTTATTCACAGAATTTCTAATATAATTTAAATCAAACTCAAGATTTTTCTAGTCTTTCAAATAAATACTGCAATAATGTTTAGATAAATAATTTTTTATATTTTTATATTTAAGTATCAAAATTAAGACTAACAGAAAAATATACAGATATATATATGTACAGTATTTATCATATTAAAGCTTATAAAAACTTATTAAAATGATATAACATATGTAGAGAAATATCATCAAAAACGAGGTAATAATTTATGTTATAATTTATTTATAAATCCTTTTCAATTCACTCATTCATTCTCTTATAACTTATAAGTTATAAGTCTTAAAGATTAATAAACTAATTTTTTATCATTTTAATTATGTATATAAATGTTTTATTTGACAGTTTTTTATTTGAAAGATAAG